AACGTTCTCAAAAAAACACAAATACTTATAGAACTTCACCAACCCAATTCAAATATTTCGTTATATTTATATTATAAATACTGAGGGTTATAAATAACCCCCTAACGGTTGTAGGAAGGAAAACTTGTTTTGCCTCCAAATCATCAGTGTTGAATTGATTAAAAAAAATCATAAAATTGAGGTATTATCTCAATATAATGAATAAAAATAAGAAAATAATTTTTATCATTATGCCTCACCATTAAAAATAAATAAATTAAAAGGAGAGTATGCAGTCCCTTTACACGGGCGGATCTACGGGGAGGGCATTCGGGCTGAAGCCCCCCCCCCCCAAAATGGTAAAATATAACCATGTTTTATCGAAAAAAATATTTAAAAAGTATCTCTTAAAGTATTATTGTTCGTGTGATTAATATTAAAAGGGCTTTAGGAATCACTTAAACACCATTTCATACAGGTTGTTAGTTTCTTTCTTTTTTTCTAAAGCAATTATCGTTATTTTTATAAAAAAGAAGCTTTCGGGCTGAAGCCCTCCCCCAAAATTAAATCCTGGATCCGCTAGTGCTTCACTAGGTCTTATTTTCATCTCATTTTTGTTTGGAAACATATGAAAAATTATCTAATTGTTTCATTAATGCTTACCTTTAAACTTAAAAGAATTTAAAATCACGAAACTGCTTTTTTTCTCATTGGAACATGCTTTCTTTCTTTTTTCAACATTTTAAAATTTGTTTCCTTATTTAGTATCTCACAATGATGGGAAAGGAAACTTAAATCCTTCTCTCAAAAGGCACTCTACACCTACCTACTACAGGCAAATATTTATGAATCGACGGACTGGTCTTTTATTCCAGAGAACCAGACTTCCTAGTTCTATGGATGCACAGGAGGATCTATGGGGGGAGGGGGGACAGGAGGGAGCTTTCGGGCTTATAGATAGTTAGTTTTTCTTCTTTTTTTTTTTTTTTTTTAATAAATTATCGTTATATACGAAAATACGAAAATAAAAGCTTTCAGGCCGAAGACCCCACCCCCAAAAATTAAATCTTGAATCCGCTAATGCATGGATGCAATCGTTGGGCTGCACACCCATCTTGCTGACGATGGAGGAGCCGCCGAGATAGGTTACATTTGGCTAAGGTCTCCTAGTTGTTTTTTTTATTCCGACCTGTGTTACTTCCCAGAGCATCAGTGTTTGAGGACCGGGGTCAAACTGGGTGACAAAGATCATTGCTGTTTTATGTTAAAACTTAAACAATAGGCACCACCATTTACTTCTCACAAATTCAGTGCATAAAATGATATTTATGGTTGCGAATCGTCTATTTGGGATGTAAGGAGATATTGGAAAAGGAGGTATTTGAAAGTTGATATAGGAAGGGTGCTGGGAGTTGATCGTTTGGTATAAGAAATTTTCAAGGAAGTATAGGCGGCGGGTAGAGGGGAAGAGCCACTTTGACTCGGCATATAGGTGGGACACATGAGACCATCTCGAAGTGCCGAAAACGAATCTTAAAAAACAGTTCATGATTCTCTTCAGTCTGTCCTTAAGCTCCAACGAGAGGCCACCGTATACCACACAGCCATAGGAAACGAGGAGCTTGCGGATAGGATGTGGGAGATGCTGACGAGAACGATGAAATAGTTTAAGTGTACCAATTGAACTTCAGATTGAACCAATTGAATATATATATATATATATATATATATATATATATATATATATATATATATAGAGAGAGAGAGAGAGAGAGATAGAGACAGAGATTTGTGTATGTTAAACTTAGCTATAAAGGTTTTTTTTTTTTAATTGTTACAGAATTATTTAGAATCTTTTATTAGGAAAACAATTTCTCTGCGTGAATTTGTTATATCTTTATTTTTAATTAAATATATTCCATTCTTTTGTCAAAATATAAAACATATTTTATATTTATTTAAAAATTGTGTACATTTCTGCATAGTAACTGACATAACTAGTCATTAGAACTATTATATTAAAAAAAAAAAAAAAAGATATATATATAAACACAGGTGCATATTTAAGATATGTTTTATTAGGTATCAGATAGGTATTCCAGACAGATTGTTATAATACTCAATAAAGAAATTTAAAAAAAAGATAGGTATTAAATATAATTGTTATTATTAAATATCAAATTATTAAAGAAAATATCAAACCCGATCAGTAATCAATTACAGTTGGATAGTCGGATTAAAATATCCAATACATATTGCCGTATCAAGCCCAAGCACCAGTATGCATACTGCTCCGGTATCTGATAAAAATATCCCATACAAGTATCAGATAAAAATATCCGATAGAAGTATCAGATAAAAAGTAATTGGAAGGTAATGGCAAACTACTGCCCCATTTGTATCAGATACAAAAAAGTATCCGTATCAGTTGTATCTAGATACAAAAATTCTGGTATCAACCTATTGCTAGTCGTGACTAGGGATGGACTGTTCCGGGCGGATTAAACTCCGCAACCGGAGCGGAACGAGACCTTAGAAAACTTTGTTCCGCTAGAACGTATTCTAAGAGCAGAATTTAAACGTCTTTTGCTTTCGATGGACAAATTTTCGGCAGAAAACTCAACATAAACATAAACATTGATAGTGATCACGGTGAGTGTGCGCTATAGGTGATTGCCGCCGAAGTGGATTAATGGAATAGTCCAATAGATTTTTTGCTTCAAAAGTGAACCATAATGACTAAATTTAATTTACTGTTTGATTAAATTTAAAGAAGTCCATTTAAATAAAAATATAATAAGATCCTAACGATGATTTTAAGATAGCAATTTGCAAATTTTAAAGATATTAATTAAAATGCCAAGATACAGATAAACTATTGAAATAATAATAAACACAATAATAATTATAAAAATTTTAATCAAATTGTATTATTATTATTAAGACCAATGATAAATATGCGGTTCTGTTATGCAAATGAAATTTGTCATAGGAGATTTTATATCATTGGTTTTGTTTTATAGATTGATTTGATTTAGAAAACCTAAGATTTAGCATTTTATTTTATTTTACTTTTGTTAGCTGCCTATAAAAGTCATGAAAGAAATCAATACGGTTTTAACATTTTTTAAAGTTATTTTGTAATGAAAGTAAATTTTGGCTTTTATTATTATTATTTTATTTTTAAGTCACATTCCAACGGTAGAACGCAGAAGAAACTGAACTAATATTCTCGTTAGCCATAATGAAAATTTCTTAAACCGCTTCGAGGAAAGCATTTCACCTCTGGAACGATTCGGAATGGTTCCACCCATAACGGCCTTTCTTGTTCTGAGTGTCCTTGAATTCCACCCTCGAAAATGTTTGGAACAGTCTTTCTCGTTTCGAGTGGCCTTGAATAACACCCCTGGGAATAGTTCCGACCGGTGCAGTTTTTTTCGTTCCAAGGGGCTTTAGGCAGAGGTACAGGAACGCACACTAGCGGATCCAGGATTTAATTTTGGGGGGGGCTTCAGCCCGAAACCTTTTTTTTTCATAAAAATAACGATAATTACTTTGGAAAAAAAGAAAGAAACTAGCTACCTATATGAAATGGTGTTTAAGTTATTCCTTAAGTACTTTTAAATGTAATTACACGAACAATAATACTTTAAGAGGTATTTTTAAAATTTTTTTTCCCATAAAACATGGTTATATTTTTCGATTTTGGGGGGCTTCAGCCCGAAAGCCCCCTCCCCCCATAGATCCGCCCGTGGGAACGCAGGAATACCCATCACCCCAAAGTTGATGGCGCAAGAACTTTCCTCCTCCCCTTTTCAAGATATTTTATTTCTCTCTTCTTAATAACAGTGCAAGCGATTCCCTGTCAAAATGTGTCACTCCCCAAAAAAAATTTTGATGGCGCAGCTTGCTCCATGAAACCCCCTTTTGGGCACCCCTGGAGGAAGGAGTTGAGTACCAAAATGTCTCTGTTGCCATGCAGAAAACTTAACTGAATTGAGCCATCAAAATATTTTAGTATTAACTTTGATAACAATAGGTACTAAACTTTTCCATACCCCTCCAAAATAAACCCTATATTGATATTTTTCAGTATTGTCACCAAACCTTGATACTTGAATGTTTTAATGGCTTATTTTTTCTAGGTAGTAGAAGCTTTGAAAATATATGTATATTTAGATGATATATATTTCAGCATGAACTTAAATCATTCAAATTGCTGTCCTTTATTTCTAGGAAAATATATGGTATACAAGAGAGATTCCATTTTTTTTTCTGCTACATCTTAATATTAGATGATTAAAATCTTGTTTGTCCATTCTTCGGTGTTAGTTTCCTAAATTCACTAGTAGATTTCTTTCTTTCATTGGCCTAAGTACCCATTTAATGTAAAGGAACATTATAGATTTTACTACTACAAAGCCTAGTCATGGAAATTTCAAGGTTTTGATTATTTTATAATACAGGTACAAGCAGAGTAATAGTAAGCATATTCTGCTTTTACTCTTGCTTTTATTTCCTCTTAAATTTCGTTTTGTTCCACTATTATAGGCCAAGATAGATAAATTTCTTAAATATTTTGTTTATATAGCATATTAGACACTAAATTTACATATGAGTGGTTTCATATTAAAGATGGACGTCTGTCATTTTCAGATTGCGAAGAAAAAGTCAGTTATTGTTTGTAGTTGTTTATAGACGCCAGTCAATTTTTGTTTTATAGGTTCAATTAGAACTGTCTGATGATTTTATTAAATAATGTTCAAGTTTAATAATAAAAAAATCATTAGAATTGGTTTAAATTGAAGCTGTTATAAAAAATTGTTTTTTTCTGAACTTTTAAAAATGATAGATGTCGGTCTTTGAAATGAGACCACTCATATGAAACAAGCAAAGTAATTTTCACAAATATAATTCCTTTTTATAATACATTATAAAATTATTTTTTGTTATAAAAAACACAGTATAAATATATTTAAAAATGTTGTAATTAATAATGCTCGTATTTTTTTGTTTTTTAGTGCATGAGGGTGGACTTGCACTCTGGTCTTCTTCGCAATCAGAGTCAAGCCTCTCTTCATTTGCGCTCATGCTGTGATAAGCATGCAATATCCAAGTCTGCATGCTCCCTTCACTCTTTACTATGGTGCTTTCAGACTTCATTCAGAGTGCATCTCAATGTAGCCATGGATACTGCAACTCAAGAAGAAAAAAGGAAATTTACCTTATTAATTAAGGATTATTACCAAAACGACTGACTTTTATTACAAATAAACAAGATATATATAGATATATATATAAATGAATAAGTGCATAATGCCCGTTGTATAACTCAATAATTGTAATGTTTAATTAACTGGGTCTTGCCAAAAAACGACAGTTCTTTTTGTTATATTTTTGATTTATTAAATATTTAAAAATAGACTTTAAATTTTATAGTACTGTTAAGAATTTCTTAGGTGTATCATGTGTGCGGTGAATGAGTGTTTATTTGTTGGACACTCTTATTACCAATACACGTGTTAATGAAAGCTAGTCCATGTGATCACCAATAGGCAATAATGGAAGTTTCAAAGTTGAGTTTATAAAAATGAATATGAAATAAATTATCAGAACTTTGTTTTCCTTGTTAAAACTTTGGTTCCCTTGAAAAAAAGAAAAAGATTTTGACACTTAGCATAAATTCTTTCAAATTTAGCTCCTTTAAGTATATAATTGTAGCAGAAAATAGTTAAATAGGATGAATACCTGGACTTGCTTTCGTTTATAAATTTCTTTTATCTACTTTCTTTAAAAAAATACTACAAGTTCATCTGTTACTAGTAACTAATACTGCTTTACATCTGTGAGAAAAGAAAAAAAGGATACACCACACATGAATAAAACTCCTATGCAGGCTATTAGAATATTACAGTGTAGCTGAATCTTAAGAATTCAAGAAAAGTTGTTACTACAAAATAATTATTATCATTATTATTGCTAAAGTATCCATCACTGGCGTACACTAGCCGTGAAGTATTACAATCAGTAGCGTGAAAAAATAATTACTACTATAATAATGATCAGCAGATAGAACCCTTTGGCTTTTAGACTGCCATTAAAACTCCTAAATGTTCTTTGGGAGATCACCATCAAGTCCATGTCGTCCAAATACAAAGGATAAATAGTCTAAACGCATTCGCATTATTATTCGATTATATTTAAGAACACTTCTAAATAGATCAAAAGTAGAATATTTAGAAACCTTAAACTTTTTTAGATTAATCAATGTCATTTAATTATAAAATCAAGCTGATTAGATGCATAGAAATGTCATGGATTTATGGTGAATCGCTTCAACAGATAGGAGAATAGAATAATATTGTAATAAAACATTCTTTACCTAGAACAGATAAATTTTTCTGAAATCACTAGAAATAGTCATTTAATTAGGTCAGGGAGTAAAATAACAGATTTTCCTATTTGAATTCGCAAAAAAAAAGAAGATAACTGTAAATAACTAATAAGTATTATCTTTATTATTGTTATTCTTTAAATCTAAAAAAAAAAAAATCCAAAAATAATACAATTTTTATACTAATGTTATTCTCCAAACACTTGGTCCATAGGTAATACAGGTTATTAATATAGAATTAATTGTAAATTTATAAGGACTGTTATTCAGTTAGCATATTATTTTATACCAGCGCTCAATTAGAATAATGTTTTTATTTTGAGTCATTTTTCTATTGTGCATTTACTTACTTAATATTATATATATTAATAAAAAAAATATATATATAAATATAAATACATCAAATATTATTAAAAATTAGCACTTTTTAAAGGGATATTACTTACTAAGGAGTGTAGCTAATCAAGCAAATCCTTTTCCTAATTTCAGGCCTTATATTATTATATTAATAAAGTGATTAACTAAAACCATATGCACACCCATTATATAGAATTAATAATAATAATAATAGGGGAAATATATGGGTTTCCCATTAATATCTTGAATTTTAGTTACAGCACCTTAAGTTTCATAAAGCCTTTGCTTATATGCTATACTTCTTATGGCCAAATTTCATAGATTTTCTACTTTTAAATTATATATAAATGAAGATATAAAAAATGCTAGTAGATTTATATAACATTCATGTATAGATATGTATAACAGTCCTTATAGTGCCTGATTAATGTTTTGTTCATAAATTATAAAGGAGTTGCTTAACTTGGAGTTGCCTCCCATTCCACTGTGTGCGTGACGTATCTGCGATTCCTGCCATATTCTATGTATGCATGAGCCTGTCTTCTATTTATATAAAGATAAAGTCATTTTGAGTTGCTAGATTTTTAAAAAAATATATATAATAAATGCAATTCAAATTTATAAAATAAACAACTCTGTCGTCCAAAGTTTTTTTTATTTTTATTTTATAAACTATCATGTTAGACCATTAAACTGGTCGAGTTTTGTAGCCAGCTCATCTGTATACACTCAAACACCGCAGAACAAATTTAGCCAATAAAACTAAAAAATTATTTATATCTTCAAACATCAATTATTATCGTTGAATTAAATGTCTTATTGTAAAAATAAAAGTCTAAGTAAATATTATTACGAGATCCTATATTTTGAGCACTGTTTTAAGTGCTTGTATTTATATTTGGGCTGTGCGAAAGCTTAAAAACAAGAAAAGTTTTAAGAATTGTAGAGTTTAAATAGCTTTTACGCATAGTTAAAGGGGGCTCACCGGAGATGTGGTGATAGTTCTTTAGTCATTTGAGAGTATCTCTGATGTCTGTTTATATACATACATATAATGTTATTAAGCGGTATCATAAACATTATATGAATATAACACATTGCATTGCACAACGGTCTTCCTACAATAATAAATTAATATGCACACAATTGCAGATATTATTCATAAGTCTATTTCTGGCACATGTTGTAATGTGACCTCATACCTAGCGATTAACTTCTCAGTACGATAAACCCTCAAATCCATTGATAGTATTGAGAATGCTACTTCATTTTTTATACATATTGAGCTTTTTAATATACAAATTTGTAAAAAAAAATTAAAAAAAGAAATTTTAAAAATGTATGCAGTGTGCTGTATTTTGAAAGTGGTATAGGCCCTGAAATCGATTAATTTGTTTATGTGCTTTATCTTCAAAAATGAACTAATTGTATAGAATTTTATTTAGTTTTATAAACAAGTATTATGAAACATTTATATCTATACGAATATATAAGCATAAATATATGATTTTTCTAAATTAATAGGACTAGTTACAATATAAATAAATTCTTATAGGGTTACTCTTTCTTGATAAGGACATTACCACATCATTAACTTATACAATAGGTTTAAATATATAATCTAACCTCATTTCTCTAGTAAAAGTTTAGCTGTGGGGCAATGATAAGGTAATAAAAGTAAGGCAATTTTCTCCGGTCGTCCTTGGCTTCAACAGTTAGTGTTTTATCACCAGTTACCACTACTTGTAGTCCTTGTTATTTGTATTTATCAACATTAATAATTATTGTATAATTACGCAAAAACATTCCTAGATTATGTAAATAATTTTATTTTAATTTATCTTATTTTCTTTTTTAACAAAGAGTATATGTTTGTAGGTTATTGTATAAAATTATGTTATGTTTTAGGAGTCAGACTAGAATGGCTTACAAAATATTATAAGCTATGGCTTTAGTATGTTTGATTCCTTTAATGAATTTCTTTTTTTTTCTTTTTTTTCCATTTTCCATAAAATAAAAAAGGGAAAACAAAAAAGGGACGTATTTATACATTTTAAATATCCAAACCGATCCAAACTGTAAAATGCATGCTAGGGAAGCTTGAGTCAGTTACATTGTTAGGTACCAAACAAGAGGCATCATAAATTTCTTTTATTTGAAGCAGAGCTCAAGTTATATTTAATTTAAAAGTCAGGATGGGCGGCAATCATCAAACCACAAAATGTGATCATTTTAATATATTTTGATATTGTTATTTGTTTTCCTTGTTTAATGTTGTTAAGGGTTTAGTATACATGATTTTAGAAGTTATATATATAAATATACATATATTTTTTATATTGTCCCCTTCTGTCCTTTTTCATTGATACTCACTGCTACATTTCTGACTCCTTATAACTGATGGGAATTTTGAGAAGCATATCGATTTAAACCTTCAGAAATATTTTAAAAGATTATATATAAGTCTTTATTCAGTATACAAGTTTGTTGTTTCTCTAATGAAAATGTATAAATAAAGCTTCATTTATTTTTATTTAAATATGTGTTTAAAATGTTCGCTGAATGTTGTTGGGCTTCTAATGTTAGAACATATCAATTTTTATTGAATAAATGAATATAACTTAATGTACATCTTCCATGTAATAATTTGTATTGTATTTTAGAATACAGAATAACTTTACTTTAGTGCAACACATATCGTAACCATGTTGTCGTTGTTGTAATTAAAAGTCATTGCCGCTCACCCTAAGAAATATGTTAAACCTAGGAACAAAGTGTTTTTAATGGACAATATATATGTTATTATACCTAGATTGGTTGTGCATTGTAAGCAATAAAAAAAAAATTAAATGGGGGATGAGATATGAATTAGAAATATAAATAACATTAATCGGTTGCCAATGAATAACTGTACAAAATTGGTTCTAAAATGTATATTGTATAAGTCAATGTCACTTTCTGTACTTAGAGTATTACATCAATTCTTGAATTTATTTAAATAGCATTATATTTTAAAGTCAACTACAATTTTGTTTTTGTTTATGTTTGCATTGTGATAATTTGTCTAAGTATTTTAACATTGGTGATGTTAATAAACAGAGTTGCTTCAAAACAGCATGACCTAATTATGTACATTAATGTCTGTTAGATTTAATTTTAAAAAGTATATATATAAAAAGAAAAGCAGATATTTTTTCAGATATGTAAATGTTTTGAACTCTAAATTAACATCACCAATTTCCTGTCAAGAATAGACCTAATGCTTATTCAATATTTTTGTATATTTAGATCATACAATGTTTCATTTGATATTACTATTAAGTCAATTAAATGGTATTACTCAAGTTTAAAACAATTAAGAATATAAGCAGTGATACTTTTTTCAAAAAAAAAAATATTACATTAAGAATAATTATATTTACAGCCTCTTGTACTGTATATACAATGTAAATATGACACCATTGTTTGTTTTACACCTGACTATGTCATTGTTGACCATTGAAATATGAAGAGAAAAGTTAAGTGAAGAATTACTTATAGTTTCTTACCCCTAAAAATGTTACAAATAGTATTAATTGGTTTAACCATTTTTATAATTTCAAAATCAAAACGATGTTCATTTGCTATTAGCCGACATATCTAACATTTTAATACAAATATATTGTTGAAAGAATACTATTTTCAACTCTAGGCTGGGGTTCTATACAATTTCATTTTAATACCTCACCTCCCAAATGAATTATATTATTGTAAACTTATAAAAATTAACTAAGTAGTTGGTAATTTTCATTTGATTCATTGATAATTTTATAGTGGTATGGCTGTGAAAAATACTTTTAAAATATTGACTTTATAAGGGCTATAAACATTGGTTAGAATTGAATTTTTGAATTGAATTGTGTTTTTATTTGCCTAATAACTGAAGTGCAATAAATCGCATCATAAAAGTACAATGTTATAAATCATTTATCAGTATAACAATAATTTTTATGCAGACAAAACTAATGATGACAATGCCTTACAATCAAAATATATGGCTGCGTTTCAATATTGATTTGTAACCAATAAGCTTTTTACGAGGCGTAATCGCTATTTTTATAAGTAGAAATAGGTATGTATTACAGTAAAAACACCAAGTAAATACATTACATTTGCAATATTCACTATTTTATAAAAGCAACTTGTTATTCCTTATCTATGAAATCCATAAATGTCATTTTATTGTAGGATTTCCCTTTATACTTATAACACAATATGAAAAACAACTCCTGAATCCTTTCTTTTCCAATATAAATCAACATTTTTGAAGAATCAGCAACAGGCACATGTTTAAACATTAGATAAAAATATTTTATTATCAGTGTAAACTGGATTCTATAAGGCATTTTTTGATTTTATTTGCTTTCATTTGGCAAGTAATAAGTGGTTATTAACGATTGAATCAAATATATTTATAACAAAAGTCTTTATAGATTTAGACATTTCACAGGAACTAGATTTTATTTTATTTTATTTTTTTTATTTAATTTCAATTTACCTAAACTGAATGAGCTAATAAAACCCATCTAATTGAATTATAAATATTTTTAAAAACAGTTTAGTTAAATACATATTATTCATGAAGTGTCTACAACAGTAAGTAAATGTCGGAATCTACTAACTTTTGTCAAAAAAATCAGGTAAAGTACAGTAGACATTAAAAAATTCATTTTTAGCTTAAGTACATTAGTTAAATACACATTTACAACATTATCCTTTCCAAATATTAAAACTGAAACTTGTTTGACGGATAAACTGCATGATGTTTGGCACAATGCATGTATCTTAAAGTTCTATGTTTTGGGGAGTCCATCAATGATCAAATAAGAATGGAATAAAAATCTGCCTTCACATATTAAATTCTCAAGTACATAGGATGTCTTAGTAATTCTTTCATACCAATGTGTTTCAGTTTATTTTTTATTTTTTTACCAATATAGCATTGACGTAATTGAATATGCTGCATGTTGGGAACTGCTGTTTCCATAAGCTTTCATTTGCCTAATTTATTTCATGGCTTCTTGGTTAATTTTAATCCTCTGGCCATGATACAGGTAATGTTTAGCTATATCATATATTTTCACTCTACAAATCTTCCTACAATTTATAGAAGAACATTATGTAAAAATTACAGAAATATATGTATTTTTTTTAATTTTTAAAGATTTTTATAGGTAAAAAATTCATGATATTCATGAAAAATACTGTTTTGTAAAGGTTAAAATTATAATATTGCAAGGTAGCAATGCAGAAGATCCTTTTACCAATTACAAATAAACGTCAAGAGTTCTGATTCTTCTTATCTCTAGTTATATAATTTTTTACAATCACATTATGTTGCAATAATTTTTATACTTGCACTTTTAATCTGTTGTTCCTTAGTCATGTATATTTTATTGAAATCAGAAGAAGAATAAATCATGTCCGCCAAAACTTTTGCCAAAGCAAAGTAGATTAATGAAGGACTATTACCATTAGACATTTGGTATTTTCTATATTTTCCTATTAAAGTCTGAAATAATTCCCAGGTTCAATTTTCACTAAACATTAAAAAATATAATTTTAACATTTTCATTTGTAGCTTTGAAATAATTCAAGCATACCATTAAAAGCATCTAGCAACTATTTATTAAAGAATTTTATGCTTATTCTATCATAGGATGTAATAATTTCATAGTGCAGTGAAACAACGTAACTCCCCTTTTCTTCAATAAAGCTAGATGCTATTATTATTTCATTTTTCAGCATTACTCTAATATAGAGGATTGTTGTCCTGATGATGCATGAATTAAAAAAATATTAGCCTTATAATTATTAACTGCTACTTGATCAACTCAAAGCTTTAATAGGAATCAACCAAATATTACCTAATTTTAGTTTCTCTTTCTTTTTTTTTTCGTTCATTATTTCTGTAATTATATTTGGCTCTTCATTGGTATTCCCTGACACTAAATAACCAGGTCCCTCAAAATAGTCAGTGTGTGAAAAATCTAGCTCCAAAATGAAAAGTCATAGGAAACTGATATTAGGTACTTAAGGTAGGTATCCTAGGATGTTATACCAACTTTTTCATGAAAATCGGCTAACCAGAAGATCCCCTTTATATCATTGTTTTATACATTTTCTCGAAAATGGCCAAAATCGATTCAATTAAATTCATATATTCATTCATTCATATATTTGTTTAAATTCATATATCAGTGTAAATTTAAGCAGTTTTTAATATAATTTAGGCCTTATTCTAATTATTTTCGGTAACAGGGCTTAAATGCCTAATTTTCAAAATGTTTTCCTCTTATGTTCCTTTAATGTTTTTTTAAATAATTAAACTTTTAACATTATAATCTGCTAATACATATGCGGTTTTGATTTCATAGCATTGGTATTAGCAATATAAAAATTAAAATTTATATATATAACAATGCTTAAACCAATGTTAATACCTACAATGAAATATAAATAAATATAGCGACCTTCTTTATCAGTGGAACTTGTGTCAAACTAAAAATATGATGTAGCACTTAGTTATTTACTATAATCAATTAAATAATTGAAATATACATTGGTAAAGAGAAATACTTATTTATACTAAATAAGAGTGGTAAGTGAAAGTTGTGTGATGTGCGCAATACACCAGATTTTTTTGTTATGGCCTGGAGTCAATTCAATCCCTGAACTATTGCACAGATTAACGAGAGTAAAACTTATAAGTTAATATAATATTAGTACAGTACTCTTCATGTCATCAAAAAAAGATATAGTAAAACAAGTTTTTGTGCAATTTTCAAGTTTGTAACAAAGCATGTATTAAAACATTTTTTTTTCTCTAAACTATAAAATATAAATCAATGAAAAAATTCAGCTCATTTATCAATGAAATAATCTCACTCATCTTTAAAACTTGAAAGTCTAAAACTTATACCTTAAGTATTGAATGATTTATGTGCATATATATATATATATGTATATATATATATACATATATATATATATTTATGTATATATATATATACTTATGTATATATATATATATATTTATGTGCATATATATATATATATATATATATATATATATATATATATATATATATATACTATAAATAAAATAATCTCGCTCATCTTTAAAACTTGAAAGTCTAAAACTTATATCTTAAGTATTGAATGATTTATGTGCATTTATATACATATAGTATTTATATATATATATATATATATATATATATATATATATATATATAATGATAATAGTATAATAGTATTTTTCAAAATTTGAATATCTTTGTACACTGGACAATAGGACTTAAGTAATTGTGCATTCCATTGCAAACCATGGATGTATGCACAAGAGTTCTTAAGGAATCTTAGATAACTATTCTAGTTATCACAAAATACTGGCAGGTTAATTCATAACATCATTTTGTTATTTATATTATTTTTATAAGTTTGCATTTTAATTATTTTAATCATTAAATTGTAAACTTCATATTTAAAAAAAAATTAAAACTTAATTACAATAAATTAAACCAAAGATCCAAGTATTTTTGGGTTGTTGAATCCAGATACAGGAATAAAAGAGTATTTATTTTATTAAAAATAATCACAAAACAAATATTACATGGATACAATTAGACATTAATAATTTAGATAATATATTGCATGCTTGTTAAACATCTTCCCCAGAGTTGATTGTGGACTACAAGACTTATCTTTGATATCAATTTTTCTGATGAAGCATGCCATGCATTTGGACCTACCCCAAAAAGCTGTTTTCTTTCTTTAATCACCTCATCATACTCATAACCTATTCTCCTCTCTTCTGGAAACTTTCTTCAATTAAAATATCTGAACCTTCATCCTACTGCCATATACCGCTCTTCCAATTAATTCGAAAAACTTTTCTTAGAAAGTAGTGAAGTAATAACAAACCACTAATTAGGCTTTTATTCTAAACAATCTGCTGGGCAACAGTAAGGAAAGCTCCATATCAACCTATAAAATTTACAACACACCAGTGCCTTCAAAAAATAGTGTACAATCCATCGAACTATACTTGGAAAAAAGGCTTATTAGAAATATAAACACAAACTGAAAAATAGTATATAATCTACTGTCACATTTGTTTTAACAGCTACAGATCCTCACTTAACTTATAAATCAAATGACTAATATACTGAAACCTATTTGGATCTATGGAGCAGAAATTTGGAGCTCAGCAAAATGAACACACAAAATAAATAGCTCAGCAAAACGTACACACAAAATAAACAATCTAATATTCTCCAGAAAAGCTATATTTCAAATCATACTATATACGACATGAATATTTCTACAACAAAATCATATATCCACAACAAATACATCTCGTAACCAACCTTCTTTAACTGATAATCAACCCAATCCACTAGTCCTAATTTACTCAAACCTATTCTCCTCTTCTCTGGAAACTTTTCACTACTAAAATATCTAAAACTTAAAAACCTACTCCTTGTTACCTAGTTTATACAGGTTAAAAAGAAAGTGGTCAAGTGATCTGCTTCATCTGTTAACTTAAAAAAAAAATCAAAGCTTATACCAAGAGTAAGCCAAGAAAACAAAATATGGGTAACAGATTTGCTATATGTGCTACAGCACAGTTGCAAATTTCGTAAAAGAATAACTAATTAAAGTTATATTCTCTTTGTCAACATTTCTTAAATTAAATTAGTATACTGTGTCTGTAGCAATCCAATATAGTTGAGCAACCCAATTTTATGACAATAAAGTGTTTCTCTCTATATAATTTAAAATGTGTGCATTGGCAGCCACACCTCTTTGGCCTGGATGACTTTGGGGCACTTCCTCGCTTTTCACTGCTCTCCTCAAGCTCTATATGATTGAGTCACCTTTATATTCCCTATTTATCATGTTTCAATATCAGACTGATCATCTAATACTCAAAAATATTATGTACTGAGTGAGTAGATAAGTCCTGCAACCATGAATTTAACCCCTCCAAAGATATAAGACCCGCTACTTTGTTACTTTGCTCTGTTAGATGGGCTTCTTTCTGAGTAAAATTAGTCTAAAGATGATAACTGCATAGATATAATGATAGATTGTAGTCCTGTTCAAGAGTAAAGTATGTTTTAGTAGAAAAATATATTCTGAGAACAACCAATTTTATTTTCAGATTTAGCTTATGTTATCTGTTGTCTATTCATCACAGTGAGATTTCTAGGTTGAAGATTAATTTCATAATGATGGTTTTGGAAAATATGGTTGTTTATAATAGCTGTTGCAATTCCTTTTTAATTGGGGGCGGTATGGCCGAGCGGGCTAACGCGTGTACACAGCACTTTGTGCTGCCCTGGAACCTGATAACTGAAGTTTTGAGGTAAACAAGTAATTATGAGTCAAATACTGGTGTAGGATGAAACTTTTAACTCTGTATAATTCCTACCCTGAATGACCCGGAAAAAAAAACCATGTAGCATAAAAGGCAAGGAAGAGGAAACCAAAATAAATTCCTTTTTAATTGACCAAATCAAGTTCAAAATCTTAATCCAATACATTATATTGGATATGTATTAGGGGTATTTTAAAATATATATATCATATCCAATAGGTTATACAGTCAACCACCAATCCACGATTTACCTTATTATTTAAATTTAAATATAGCACTAAGGTACATATCAAAATTGTAGAGAATCGGAGATTCAATGAAAATATATATTTTGAGGTTCCCAGAGTCCAAATAACCAAGTCTGTGTGTTCTGTGAATGTGTGTGTGAACAGCCTAGTTCAAAAACAAAAGGTCATTCAAAACTGATATTTCATATTTAAGATTTGTACATGGTTGGGATGTTACTGCAACTTTTTCTTTGAAAGTGCCCCTTTATATTGTTGATTTCAGAAATTGTATGATTTTCTCAAAAACGGCTCCAACTATTTTGAATTAATTCATTATATTTTTGTAAAATTAAATTTTTTTTTTTAATATAATGTAGGTTTTAATCTTTTTCATGTTCTGTAACGGGGCTTAAATGCCTAATTTTCAGAATTTCTTCCACCTAAAGTACCTTTATGTGTTTCATCTGAAATAATTAACCATTTCACGAAATCCAAGCACGTAGCTGAGCTTAGTGGAAAAAAAAAACATAAGTATAATACATTAGAGGGCTGTGGAAAACATGGTAATTGATTGTTTAAAAAAAAATATTTGGTATTATCTGATTTTTACTTTCTCTTCCCTTTGTCTATAAATATCTATTTCTGCTAAAAGAAGGGTGGTAAGTGGAAGTTGTGTGATACCTGCACTGCACCAGATTTTATTACCTGCAGGCAAAGTTGTGGAGGAAAAATATTGGTTTACTTTGTTGTTTTTATTATACGTTAATTTTACCATATAGTCCCAAATAGATAATATCCTGATTGACCATGGCAGCCAATTATTATCCATCACTTCTACAGATCCTTTAATTTGTTAAGGTTGTAAAGTAAAACTTGTAGGAAACTTTATAGAAGTAAAACTAGAGAGGATAGAGGTCAAGTCAATCAGTATGACATAAATACAATATTATGCCATATTTATGAACTATTGGGGGGCTTTCATAAAAAAAAAAAAAAAAAAAAAAAAAAAAAAAAAAAAAAAAAAAAAAAAAAAAAAAAAAAAAAAAAAAAAAAAAAAAAAAAAAAAAAATTGGAGTACAAAAGGATGGATGTTAAACCCAAGAAAACAAAAACATAATATATTTTCTAATAATATATATATTTATTAACATAAGTAATCAGCTATTTTGTTTTTCAGTCAACAAATGCAGCTGATTTTTTATTTTTCCAAAGCTGTCTAATAAGATATTTAAAGTAGTAGATGGAAGTCCAATATTATACTCCTTAGTGGTTTCACCAACATTAGATTTATTTTCAACCTATACAAATTTAAAAAAAACAGATATATATTGGAAATATTATTATAAAGATAACATAATAATCAAAGAGTATAAATAATGCAACTTAACAAACAATTAAAGCATTGACACCATATTCCCAAACAAGATAGAAAATATTTCACTGTTTTTACTTTCACTTACATATATATGCAATATATAGTAAGGAAAGTATTGCCATAGTGAATAATTTTGACTCTGAGTTTTCAACGGAAATATATGTTTTGAGGTCCCCTATGTCCAAATAACCAAATCCCACAAAAAGGTCTGTGTGTTTATGTAAACAGCCTAGATCAAAAACAAAAATCGCAAGACACTGAAATTACATATTTAATGTAGATATATGCTTGGGATGTTATAGCAACATTTTCTTTAAAATCAGCAAACCGAAAGTGCCTCTAAATATCATCAATTCTACAAATCTTTTCGAAAACAGCTCTAACGGTTTTGATTAAACTCAGTACTTCAATGTACAATTAAATGATATTTCGTTAAGGTAGGTTTTATCCTCAATGTCATCTAACAGGGATTAAATGCCCAATGTTCAAAATTTCAGTTTAATAACATTAGATACGTTAATCTTTAAATGATTAGTTATATAGTGCCAGTTTATTTCGAAAAATCATTAAGTAATATTTAAAAAAATTAAATTACTGAACAAGTTGATGAATTTTCTCTCTGGAGAAATAATCATGTCATTATCGACTTGAATTATTGTGACTATTTTTTACATATCAATGATAGCCAATGAAAACTAGTAACTCCATTTTGATAAATTTTACAAGGGAAAAAATTAGAAAAGAAATTTTTATTATTCTTATAAAAATAAAAGGATAATAAGACATTTTAAAAATATTAAAAATAGGTATAATGTCATACGGATTTAGTTTCTATAATTTTTACTTTGCGTTACAATCCTTACTCATTTATAGATTGAATATATAAATGTACTTTCAAATTTCACATCGTATAGGAAACTCAGAGATGAACTTTAAGCTTCAGCTAGACGAATGAAGTTATGAGTTTTTTACAGTATAATAAGTCTTTTTAGGACCAATTATGTCTGTGTAAGTGTGGACTACATATTCTTACTATGGAGTACATAGAAGCAATGTAAACCAAGTTAAACAACTGAGCTGGAAAGGAAAATTATAGTATACCTATAAAATGAGGGCTGATCACTCAAGGAAATTCCATAAACAAAAAACGGACCCTCATTTTACCATAAGACATTATTAACCAATATAGAATGTGAATTTGAGTTGGCCATTGCTGCTAATTGAAGATCAAGACACTATAGAAACATTACTTATACACCCAAAAAAATGTTTGTAGAACAAATGAAAAAAAATTGCGTACTAGTTCAAGAGGATTCTATGGGAATTCGTAGTAGTTCATATAATCACTTCAGTCCCACTAGTTCATGCCATGCTGAAAAGAGTCAAATGTTTTCATCTCCTCTATGGGTATAATCAAACTTATTCAAAAAAAGAATGAAAAGATAGGGATTCACTTTGTGAGTCCGCCACAAAGGGTGGAGAGGACAACACTTAAGCACGCTCAGCCAAACTCGCTCTGATGCGTTTTTCAATTATCATACTATTGATAGAATTCTAGCAGTAGCCCAGTGTTCACTATCATAGTAATATGTTGCTCAAGGATTTCGACAAATAAATTTTCTATGCTTGATGGGAACATTTTTTTTTTAAATTATAGATCTTAATCAATCTGGGAAAATCAACCCATTAATTGACTAAATAAATCATGCCAGCCAGGGTAAGTGTAGTTGTTAACATTTTCATTTATATGTATAGAAAACAATTTCTATCAAGTTGGATCAGAATTAAATAAGATTGAATAGTACTGTATTAGTGATAACAGTACGGAAATGATTGTCAACAAAAAATCTAATTTTGCCTCTAAACATACATTTCTATTGAAAAACTATAACGATAAAAATAAAGTTCAAAGTCACTATATGTAAACATACATTGAGTTTTAGAATGCAACATGGATTTCCATGTTCTCCACTATTAGGTAAAAGTACTTCACTATTCAGTAATCTTGGAGGACCAACATGATCAAAGGAACTCATTCTAGCAATGATTTCAATAAATAACGTGTCCAAAATTGTATTACATTGATTTAAACCTAGATTACAGTAAGTTTCAATAAATCAAAAAAAATTACACTCTAGCTAAATCACACTCAACATTTAATTTCAATTGTGATCACAGTTCCGGAGATGAGGTTATTGTGCTTATACATTCAAAACAACCCAAGGAGCTAAGAGACAAATAGCTCTATGCACAACCCCTTGAATATTATTCAAGATTCCAACCGACTTTTCCCGAGTTTCGGTTGTTAAACGAACTATGTATATATTTTTTCAGTTAAGATGAATTGTGTTCTTTAAGAGTCCCATCCTGCAAAGTTCACGATTTTATTTTTTAACTGAAGAGAAAATTGAATGTATGCAGCAAAGAGTTTGAACCAATTACGAATTTCTTAGTTTCATACAATTGTTTACAGTGATGTTTACTTCATCAAAGCAGTGTAGCAATATATTAGTGCAGAATTTCCCTTTTTAATTCGTTTCGTGTAACCTTTAAAAACATTATAAGGTGGGAGTATCAACTTCAGCGCCATTCATAAAATGAGTTGGGCTGGTGACATGCATTAATCAATATTTTTTTAATGGAAATATTGAAATTAGCTATTATATGAGTGGCCTCATATCAAAGACGGACATCTGTAATTTTCAGAAAGTGGAGAAAAAGTAAATTTTAATAATGTTTATACAGGAACAAACTGTTTCTGATGATTTTATTTAAGAATGTTCGAAGTGAATGATAAAAACAAAATCGCTGGAATTGGTTTAAATTGAATCTATGTTAAAAAAAGCTGGCTTTTTCTAAACGTTTTAAAAATGACACGATGTTTGTCTTTGATATTAGTCCATTCATATTTCTAAAGATTCATAGTTCCCTCATGAAATAATTCACAATGTACTGCTTACAGTACCGGCCTTAGTGTGGCGCAAGCGGGGCACCTACTTGGAGAGCCGTCCGTTGGGGGCGCCGTTCTATATTTAGGGGCGCTTGCCACTTGTAAAAAATAAAAAAAATTAAAAAACGTATAAAAAGGAGTAATTTTAGCCCACCAACTATTCGAAAAATGTTGAATGCAATAAAATTCAAATATTACATAATATTCAAGAAATAAATTTAATATTTTTAGGGGAGGAGGAGATGGCGTCATTGCCCGAGGGGCGCCGAATGTCTAAAGCCGGCACTGTCTGCTTACTATGTTAGTACCTTTAAGTTGTGACAGCACCAGGGAGTGAGAAATCGGCTTTTCACATATTTTTTACTGGGTCATATAAATATAAATAATTACCGAACAATGAGGAGAAATATGGTTTTAAAAATTTAGATCATGATAAAAACTGCTTTTAGTTGTGATTCGACTCTATTATGTCCCAGTGGCATAAATATGACCAATATTATGAATTGATACGTATAGTAATTCATGAAGTCTATCCAATAGTGCCATAAAGGCATGAAATGACAAACCGAGAAGTTTGTAAATAGGATTTTTCGCCTGTGATAAAACTTCATTAAGTCTGATTTGAAAAAAAATTCTCTGAAGGTATGTCCACAAACGCTTTGTTTAGGAGATATTCACACCTAAAGATTTTCGTTGTCATGAATTATTTACTTTATATGAAATAAATAAAACCTATTTATATTTATTTATTTGTTCTAACTACTTTATTAATTAAATGTAAACATTAACATTCATCTTACATGTTGTTCAAAGTGAAGGTATGTCCGCAAACGCTTTCTTTAGGAGATGAATTAGATAGAATACTAATATGGCCTTTAATTCCTAACTGTACAAAAAATATAGGCAATATAAGGATTAATACTATTCGGAATTAGCATTGGGAACTCTCAATATCATTTATCAGTTTGTAAGAGGCTTTCGCAGAGTACTCATGCCTTTCATTTATACTAATAGTGAATATGCCGACAAAGTGTTTGTATACGGTTTTTGCAATGGTAATGCTAATGCTGCCCATCTTGAATATGCCAGGCGATTTCCGAATAGAAGATTACCAAACAAGTCTATCTTTAGCTCCACGTTTCAACGTCTTAGAGAAACTGGTACATTTGCTATAATACCACGTGCTCATGGTATTTTTGCTCCTTTACGAAATGAAGAAAGAAGTACGAATAAGAAGCATCATATTACAATATTTTGATGATAATCCATCGGGCAGTGTACGAAGAGCTGGAGCAAAATTCAATATTACGCCAACTACAGTATGGAGTACTCTCATTGCAGATGGACTTCACCCATATCATTGTCAACAGGTAAACAATTTACTAGCGCAAGATTTTCAGCAAAGAAGACATTTTTCAGGTTGGTACTTCAAAATCAAATTGAGCATAATCCACAATTTTCAGGAAAAATTCGCTGGACAGATAAAGCTACCTTTACAAGTAGAAGTATCTTCAATCGGAAAAATAATCAACTCTAGTAGCAGGAAAATCCCCAGGCAGTTCGTGAGCATCATTTTCAGGACCAGTTTCAGAACTAGTGTGATTGGAGATAGACAATATTTTAATAGGTTCACATTTCTTGCCACCTCGACTCGATGCGGGCACATTTCTGGAATTTCTTAATAATGATTACTATGATTTAGTTGAACATACTCCACTACAATTGAGAAGGGACACGTGGCTTCAATTAGATGGTTGTTCTGCAAATTATATTATGGAAGAGGTCCATGGTTATTTTTGTTTCGTAGTTTTATAAATAATTTTATTTTCCATTAAAAAATCTTTTTTTTTTTTTATCGTTCCACTTTGATTTTATAGCCGAAAATTGGCTCGTGCAAATACTTTTGCTTACTACTGTATGTGACGGGATGATAAAAAGAGTAAATAAAGAAAAGACATATTTCAATATTATAGAAGTAAATGACATGACTAATTGTGCACGCACAATTATGCCGGAATTAAATATTGTTTGTTAGTCCATTATATCATTATTTCATATTAAGTTAGATATGTTAGCCTTATCTTCTGTTCACTTAACTTACTATATTTTACATTGATTATCTCGAACCTCTTTGTCATAAATGTTTCTTGGTTACAACATGCCTTATTATTTATTGTATACAATAATGTGAAACTGTAGGATCTTTAATTCGTTTTTAAATTTTTACCCTATTTATAATAAAGCCGCCATGGCTCTTAAGAAGGTTTCTTATAGTGTACCGAATCTGAAAACTTTAGTAAACTCTTCAAATTCGTGTGTTTACTGCATTGAAAATTGTACTAGAAGCATGACAGTATTACCTGTGCATCTGAATAATATCAAGAGGTCTGTTAATCAATTGCTTAGTGATAGAGTCACTACCTATGATGCTGTGTAAGAATCTGTTTTGTATTTCTAAGTAAAGAATTGCATTGCTGTTTACTGTTGTCTTATAATGTATGTATTATTTGGATTATCTTTAGTTTGAAAGGAATCATTCTGGGCCATAAAAATATTAAGGTCATTAATCATGTGCAGCTGAACGATGATGGAAATTTCGCTCTGGATTATGTTGCTGACATTTATATTTTCAAACCTGAAGTTGAGAATCATTTGTCAGGTATTTTTTTCAATTTTTTAGATTTAAACTGCTTCAATCATTTATATCGTTGGTTTATTGTGAAAGGTTACTTAGTACATTTTTAATAAAGCTAAATTTTCAAGTGCTATGTGAGTTTCAACTTTTTCAATTCCAAAATATATTAAGTACTTCAAAATAACATGAACCCTTATGAGTGCGTAGTGATTTCACAGAGCAAAGTATTTAATGATATAATTTTCTGAAATGTTAATAAACTAATGATATATTCTAATTAAAAGTGTTTAATGTATAATTAAATTTTTAATTTATTTTTTATATTTTGAATGTTAAGCTTTGGATAGGACTGTTTCTGACTTAGTTTTAAATGTTGCTAGTTCTCAAATGTATTGTATAGTTTACATTGAGATACATTTCATATCAGTTTTCATTGAATCCTGGAAGTATCTGAGGGCCTCATATAGGACTAACTTCAGTAAATAGCAATGACTGATCTCTGGTCACACCGTATTCTCAGCTGAAAAGGACATCTTGGGTTAGAGTCAGTATGATCATGTATGACCCTAGGAAGCCCATCTGTGAACATGAACACTTGGACACTTTTGGAATTCCATGTTCAGTACAATCAATGAAATTTTATAATTCAAATAATATTCAGCTTTATAGAAGTAAAAAAATAACCAAAAAAACTGTACCACGGAAATTAATAATATATAAATTTACGCCGACACTTTAGAAACATTGAGGAGGGTGCAGAACGCCATACATACATTAGCCCAATCAGCAGTTTATTACTAGTTAGTTAAAATTATTATTACTTGTATGTTTTATTGAACTCTTTTGTGGGTAATGCTTTAAGTAAATGACAGTGAAATATTGGAAAGTAACTAAAACTCGGGTCCCTTCCATAAAATATTGGGGGGGGAGAAGCACTGGTGGATCTATGGGGAGGAGACTCTGGCTGAAGCCCTCCCAATAATTGTATAATTAAGCCTAAAATTCAGATTTTTTTTTCTGAACAGAGAAATTAGATTATTGTACTAATGTGGACTCATTAATACAATAAAAAAATTTCTAAAACTTAATAACTAATATGATACACAGTGAGGTGGCAGAAAACTGAAGGCCCTACACCAGTACCACTTTTCCGTTGATCAAATGTAATTTACAAGGAACTATTTCAATTATTTAAATAGTATATATTTTGAGACACTCTAGCCACTTTCTGCGAATATTGACTTTTTTTAAATTACTAATTGCAAGGAAAACAGAGATATGTAATTTAAAGGGATATGCTGGAGTGTACACTGTATGGGCCTTGTCTTCAGACTGTTTCATTAATAAGAGACAAATCCCCCTGAATTCATTGGAGTTTGTAAATAATTAAGATCATAGTGGGGACTAAAATTGACTAACATTTCATTTACCATCCTAAATATTATGTTCAAGTGAGTTCACTGCAACCCACCATGTTGGAGTAACACTTATGTGGTAATAGCATTTTAATTTTGGATCCTTATTGATTTGGTAGATAGTGTCTCAAACATGCCTCAAGTCCATCTAATTATAGAAAATCAAAAAGAGATATTAGAAAAATATAATTACTGTTGGGCACACTCGCTTCTATAAAGAATAAAGTGTCTCAAACAGCAGTAAATATAATGCCTTAAGTCCGTCTAATTGTAAAAAACGAAAATGGAACAAATAAGACATGAAATTTCTGCTGGGCACACTCAGCCTCTACAAAGATTAAAGTGTCTCAAACAGCAGTAAATATAATGCCTCAAGTCCGTCTAATTTAGAAAACAAAAAGGGAACAAAATGAAATAGCTGTCGGGCGCACTCAGCCTCTACAAAGATTAAAGTATCCTAAACAGCAATAAATATAATGCCTTAAGACCGTCTAATTGTAGAAAACGAAACAGGGGCATAAGCAAATACTAAATTTAGAGTGAACAATAGGATTTTTATTATGGCTATTTCAATGCCTTTTGCATCTATCATAATGATTAATTAATAACATTATTTTTGAAATAATCAATTCAGAAATAATTTTGTCATTAATCCTGAAATAATTATTTCGGTAATAATGCTCAAGTATTTCATGAAATAAATTATTTCCGATTTATTTTGGAAATGTTATTTCAAATAAATTCTGCCCAGGTATAATTGAAGTATGGTATATATTTAAATTTCATTATATTTGTCAATTAATTAGTGGATAAATTGGATCGAGCAGTGACTGGATGGGATCAAGAGTTTCATATAAAAGATATACAGATAATAACAGTACGATTAAGATTCTACAAACAGGAATATTTATTTATATTTGCAACAAAGGAGGGAAGAAGACACCAACTTCACTTATCTTAGTGATGGACAGGACTGGGAAAATACACTTTAAAATAATATATATGATATAAAAGCAAACTTAGTTTATTATTACCGAATAAAGACTTGAATTGGGACATAAAAGGATAAGGAAGGAATTCAAAGTTTCTTCATTGTAGGAAGTTCTAAAGTCTCCCCAATTGATATAATTTGGTAAGCTATCAGGATTAAAGACATTATGTACCTTTTGAAGATCATGGACTAAGTCTCTAATGGTAGGAAATTAGACAATGCCTAAGGATGTCATGTGCATGTTTAAAAAGGAGGAACAAAACCCTGATAAACCATGAACTTAGCAATGTAGAGTGGCAGTCCTGGCCAAACGCTACCTTACAATGGAAATCATTAGTAGAGTATGGCAGAAAAAGAAAAAGTGAAGTAGGTATTTATGAAAACTTTTTAATTTATGATTATAGTCTCAGTTGCCTTGTGCTTAATATTAGATTGTAGTGTGTGGCTAAAGTCCAATAATTTTATCTATAAAAAATCTATTTAAAAACTTGATGTTTACATTGTAAATTCAAAACTTCTATTTATGTTACCAATAACGGTAAGGTGTGTTTAGGTGATTTACTAAATAACTAAATTTTATTACAGGTGAAGTTAATAAAAAAAGTAAGGATCATATTGGCGTTCTAGTTCATTCCTTCTTTAATGTATCCATCCCACGTCCACGCAATGATACAGAATGCCCCAAAAATTGGATTGGTTTTGATGTAAATATTGGCCAAACAGTAATTTTTGAAGTTGTTAAGGTTAATTTTTCTGGAAGATTACCATTCATCAAAGGAAAGCTGATAGACTTGTGGTAAATGAAATTTATTATATATGATACTTTATTTTGTTGTATTTCAGAATTAGCAACAGTAGAATAGTAGTTCTTCAAGCTTGTGATCTATAAGTAAAATATTTTTTTGTTTTCAGTGAGATTGACTTTGAGGACAGAGATAGTGGAATAGGGGGCCATGAGAGCATGGAAGAAAGCACAATAATGAAAGATAAATCCATAAGTGATAAAGATGTGAAAAACAAAAAGAAGAAAAAGAAAAGGAAATCAGAAGATATTTCTCATCAAGTTTATAACGATAATTTATTAGAACAAGATTCAATAGATAACAATGAAGAGATAGGAACGTCTGAAGCATTGATTGATGCTTTAGTGCAAGAAGCTGACAATGAACAGAAGAACTGTTCTCCTGAAAAGAAAAAGAAGAAAAAGAAAAAAAGAGTTTCCATTGTTGAAGACGTCTCAGAAGAACCAACTATGCCATGCTTTAAAGAAGAAACTCCAAAGTCAAAGAAAAGAAAATTCTCTGAATTAGAATCTTTTCAAGAAACTGAGCCTAATTCCAGTTTTAATACTGATGAAGTTGACGAAATTCCTGTTCCAAAAAAGAAAAAGAAAAAGAAACATTTTGATAGTAGTGCAAACAATGATGTTTAGTTTATCTACATTCTAATGCCTTCTATCCTACGATGTAAATATGTATAAAGATAACAAACAACTGTTATAAATATATCTACTTATCTTCTAGAAAAAACTGAATGAAAAATTAAATTTGTTATTTGATAATAATTTTTAATTCAGAAGGTAATTAGAAGATTGTTTTATTTACTTAATTATTACTAAAGTTTTTAGTATGAAATGAAATGTATATCTGTCATTAGTTATAGAATTCTTGAGGAAAGGACAACACATTTATTTCTAAAACCTGCCTCCTGCATGAAAATCATCATGTTTGTTATATTAATGAATACATATTAAAATTGAATTACATAGTTATTCCTTTAACATTCTAGTCAATAAGAGAATGTGATTGACTGTTTTAAAAATGATTATCAATGATTAAAGTTCATTCAGATTACTTTAAGTAATTTTATTAATCCTTAAGTTTTATTTATCTGAAGCTTGCCATTAGGCCATCCAACTAACTCATCTTAGAATGTCCATTTTTACAACAGGCATCTCCTGGATTTTTATACATCAATTTCTTTGAGTGGTGACTGCTGTCCAGGCAGTTAGACAAAATCACCACAGCATTATCTTTGGTTAACTATAAAAGTGTTCTTTTCCAGCAGTATGGCACTTAGCCACACACTTTCAGTTCGACCAAGGAAATTTAAAAAAATCTTTTGAGATCTCTGTTACACTCACCGTATTTTTCAGACCCCATTCTATTAGATTGTCATTTATTTTGTTCCATGGGCACTTTATTCAAGAGAAAATATATTTTGCAGATGTTAAAATTGTGGTGTAAGAGTATTTGAATAGCCATCCCAATGAGTGGTACAAGTATAAAATTTAACTACTGGCTGATAAATAGTTGACAAAAGTGGGTTACAAAGTACTATATTTTGTATAAGAGAAATAAAAGTATAAACTTTTTTTTTGTTTATTTTATATATTGTTATTATTTTTTTTTATTATATTCCCTATTTGATGGCTTTGAAGGAGAATGGATGTAATAGTTGAAATTTTGGGAGAAGAAAGAAATACTGTTTCTCCAGCAAAGCTGCTGTGAGTGGTGCAAAGGAACATAGAGATGTCTGGTGTAAAGGAAATGGAGGAGATTACTTAAAAGACTATCTTATAGGTAATCTCAGATGTGGAAAGAAGGAAATTGGATAATCAACAGAAATACAGGAAAGTTTGTCTGTCAAAGAAAAAATATTGAATAATTAAAAAGTAAGTAAAAGATAAGAGTGATATTATTTTCCATTGTAGCTATTTTGCCAGACACCCTCACATAACTTTTTTATTTCAAGGAAAACAAGGACCTGCAATAAATTTTTGATTTAATTTATTTTCTTTATTGTAACAAAATAAATACATTAAATTTGAGCAACAATATAAATAGGTACATAAATAAAGTAAAAAATAACTTGTTTTTACAATGACAAAAACAAAATTGTTTTAAGTGGATATAGGGAGAAATCAATTGAACTGAGTTTTTACTTTATAACAATAGATAGAATTTATATTTTACTGGAATCAGTAATTAATGATTACATTTTTATTGGACCATAAAAGAACTGGCTGTCTGTGATTCAAAATGTTTAATAGACTTACAAATTTATTTTCATTATGATAACTATTTACAATAATATCTACATATTTAACAAACTATACACATATAAGATTTTCTATTTAATATATTTAAAGATGTTGAATAAAATTAAAATGATACTTCTTTGGTTGATAAACTAGTTGTAGCTAATCTCTAGATTAGTATTTTTGTCTGACCTTAACTATGTTTCAGTTTTGAAGTATACATGATGCATGTTTAAGATAAAATGGATGAATTAATTATTCCATTTTATATAACTACTAAATGAAGTTAATGTAATTATAGACCTTAAATTAAAGTTACAGTTTAATCTCAATTATGTTTCTTGACATTTTATAAATTTATCAAAGGCTTCACTTCTCTCAAGAATAAAACAATGTCATGGCTGTCTTCTCAAAACAATCCAGGAGTATTTTATGCAGTTAATGTTTTATTCCAATTTCTATATAATTCTTGAAAAAGATATTTGTTGAAGGTAATGTTAATCAAGTTCATCATTAAGAATAACATGCTCAAGCTCTTCAATGAAATCATTTTAGTTAAACAGTTCAAATCTTAGATTTTATAAAAATCATCCATTTCTACTCTTTGAAGATTAAACCTTATTGATAATAAAATGGCTCTAATGGATTTTATAGTTTATCATTAGAAATAACCTTTTACATAACTCAGTTTTTTATTTAGAATTTCAGTTTGTTTTTGAAATAAAATCATTGCAGCTACTTTTTTTATAAATTCCAAAAAAATAACTTTGATAGATTGTTAACAACTTGTTTTAGAATAATCATTGTATCTATTATTTTAATATTAATTTATAATGCAGGTAGTTTGAAAACGACATTTTAATAAAATATTGGTTTCAATGAGCATTCATATGAAAAATCTCATTTTTTGATTATTTGAGGAGATAAAAATAATAAGTAGACAATTTTTTTTTAAATGAAACATTTTTTCCAATATCAACATATTCACATTGACTATAAATTACAATTATGTACATTTATTTACAATTAATTTATGCTTAGAAAATTTATACATGTCACCAAACAAAATGTGTTTTCATTTCGGTTGAATGATCTGGTAACTTATAATTTATTTCTAACTATTAGGTAACATCAAAATGTTATTTTCCTCTATAAAAATAACATGATTATAATAAAAAAAATCAATTTCATTAGTTGAAACTATTGGTTGTAATTAACGCATTTTTTACTACAAATAAATTAAGTTAAGTTTTCACTGGTATTAAATGAGTTTGAGATCCTGTCATGCTATCTTCCGATCAAAATTAATAGCAAAAATTATGGAAGAGGCCAAGGTAAGCCTGTAAAGTCAACAGGTCCGCCAAGCCCTGCGTCAGCTTCTAAAAGAGACATGATAACGGCCATCGCGGCTTCATCATTGCCATCATTTGCAACTGCTTGTTGTGGAGACACTGCAGAACCAATCATTTCCATCATTTCATCCCCATCACCTCCTGCTTGTGACAATATCAGAATTATTAGGATTCATTGATACTCTTCCTAGAAGTTTTCACAATGACTATTGTGATTACAAATTTAATTTTAATGTCATAATTATTGAGAAGAATAACCTCTTTCTGTTTGATTAGTTAGCAAAACTCATTAATTTATTATTTTATTTATTTAATAGATATTCTTGTTTTATTGTTTGTTTTATTTATTTAATAAATACACGTGGGTCCGAAGACAAAAAGTAAAAGTCTTAATTCTAATAGAAATTATAATGTACATACAATATGGCTGCATAGCTGTCTCGCTCATGGAGCACTATAAAAAAAGTAACTATAACCAAAGCCGATTTAAACTTAATTTAATTGATTTAATCTTGTAAAAATAAAAAATAAAACAGATAAAGATTATATTTATATTTCTTATATTTTATGACAAAATTGAATGGGTAAAGAAATATTTCGGATTTGAAAATGGGTAGGGTAGAATAGAAGTAAATTTTAATTGAGGGAGAGTTAGAAGTCAGTGGAATCAGGTTTATTTGATAAGAAATTGAAGTAGAAAGAGTCGAGGAAGGGTTATGGATTAATGAAAAGAAGGAATACACACACACTTTTGATTTAGGATTTTACCTGCATCACTGCCAAGACTAGAAAGTGTAACATTGTTTCTAATGGTTGAATAACTGTCATCGTTGCCATTCGAATATTTTCCAACTGTGATGGTTTGGCCAGTACAATTACTTTCTGTAAGTATTGATTGCCGATCTGGTGGAGATATACCATTCTGTAACTGTATTTTATGTAAATAAGATCCATCTATTAGCAGTCGTTTAAATAAAATAATCCAAACATATTGTAAATGCAATCTTATAATTTTTTATTTTAAAAATATATCTCCACTCCCAATAATAACACAATATTTCTTTATAATTATGACACAATATTATAGTTATTGAAATTCTTGATGATCCGAAGGAATCATTGCACTGAAAACTTGAATAAAAATTAAATAAAACACATTAGTTTGAAACCTAAAGGAATTGTATCTCCCTGAACTAATTACCTCATTTAAAGTGCCAAAGTTCTTACTATGACGAAGGAATGTTAAAGAAAGATCACAAGAACTGAGGCTATACTTAACACCCACCTCAGTGTAAGACTGAAGGTGGGAAGGTGAGGGTGTGCTGTTGTTGGTTGTTGTTGGCGAGTCGAGTGCTTTCCTCTGTTCGTCAATCACCTCTTCAGCTATTTGGCGGCCAATGTTGCTTGCTTCTACATTGGAAGAGATGAATTTTGGTATGTCTCGACCAGGAATATCTGTTCCATTATCTTAAAAGTAAAAATCATAATTTGCAGGTATTAACATAAATAAAAACTGAAATAATTACAAGAAATATTGAAAGTGTTTCTACTTTGAGAACTTGGGTAATAATCAAAATTTCCTTGTGACTGATTTGACCCTTCTGTTCTTTCGACACTGCTTTCAACTTGAGAATCAAAATTTGTCCTGAAAAATATACAAAAAATGAGTCCCTTATTTCGAGTAAATATGGAGAAAAAAATTACATATACTATGATTTATTGATCAAAATAATAATTGCATTACATTAAACGAGAATTTTTGGCTACAAGATATTCTCCCTCTTTGGTCCAAGGGTTTCGAAAAGATTTCCATTCACTTTGCAGCTGGACATAGTTTCCTTCCTTGCTCCTGAATCTATAAACCTGAAATACATTGGCCATCTCTTTATGTGTAGTTTCTATTGTTTAAAAATATATATTATATATATTCATTCTCTTTGGATATCTCCTAGAGATTAGAATCAATCTGACTCTTGTGCAACAGCTGTTCACAAGAGTCAATCGATCCTAAGCCGTTGGAGCAAACAAATCTTGCATTTCAATTACCTTAGTAGTTATTGATTCTTTGCTTTGTAAAGCTGCTTTATGAGATTCTGCTAGATGACAAATGTCTTCCTTATAGTAGTATTCATACATACTGGTTCCAAGCAGCTCTTGGGGCAAGAAACCAAGAACTAGCGTCGCCCTGTTGAGTAATGGTTATTTAGAAATGTGGATACTAAAGAAAGAAGAACATTTAATTCTCATTATATGAGGATAACACTTTATTTAATTTATTTATTCATCCTAATAAATTTGATTGCAACAAAATGCAGCATAATCTACAATCGTTTAGCAATTCCACACTTGTATTTACAGAAATAATTTTAAATTTTATATTTACTCTTACTAATAAAATCTTAACATGCTTATCCTTCAGAAGTTTAATTTTTGTCACTTTTAAGATCAAAATTTAACTCTTGAGTTCAATTACTCCACCTTGTTGACTATACTGAATTAACTTCTTTCATTACAATCTTTGATTTATAAACAGTCTATTTAGTTAATATATAAGTTAATATAAACTTCTTGTCTAAAGTATTTCACTTCTTAAATCATGCTATAATCAATTAAAATAATTTACAGCCTCCATAGTAGGGAAGCGTTGTAGAGGGATGGGAAACAACACAAGGAGACCAGTTTCAGATTGACAAAGCAATATAAGAGGACACAATGGAAGATTTATTCAGTTATGAGGTTATTATGACTGAGTATTGGGTTTCACCTTAGCAACTTCGAGTCTAGCAGTACGAATCCGAATGGTATGGGTTAAAATTTATTGTGGTAGATCCACATAGTACCAGTCCATCCCTATATTTATTATTGTAGTAATTCTTTGATATATTGTAGATAACTGCAGAACCACGAATCAGAACACTACACCAAAGAAATAGATCAGGCGTATAGCTGTGGAAGTAGAACTTCCTTATCAACACAACTGTTGCTGAAACCATTCATGGATTGTGGTGGAATAGGATATTTTGAGGATGTATATAATTATAAGGTCAAAGTGTATGTAATGAGTAGTTGAAGTTTATCTTGATGAAGCATTGTTATTACTTGGATGTGTGTCGTCTCTAAAATTGGTGTAAGTCCTTATGGGCAAGTAAAGCTCATTAGTCTACTTGAGACAAAGCACACTATATATGATATAGGATGAAAGTACTCTTATTAGAAATTATAAGGTGATTTTCAGGAATATTTAGGTGACTAGCTGGATATTTAGCTAGTGGGTGGTTTACCTTAACCTTGAGCATTTAGTTTAAAGAGATTCTAGATAGCCAGTCAACCTTGAGTGACTATAATTCAAGAATTTTGACTAATTCTTCTCGATAATCAAATGTTTGGATGTGCATAAGTGGGAAGGGTTCCCTTTTACTTTGGCAATCATGGTTCAAGATTGTTTCATTTTGTTACATCTTTCTGATCTCTATGCCAACACAAATTATTAATGTCATGAAGTCTCAATGTTTTTATAACAAATATTTGGCCTTCAAATGTCATCTGATAGATACTGTTGACAAAATTTGCAAATATTCAGTTACAATTAAAATAAACTTATATTAGTAAAAAATTATTGCCATGAGCAGAATGGTCAAAATTTCAATTTGAGATAAAAATTTAAAAGCCAAATCAGGTACTTTTGAGAAATACACTAACTGTTTTATTTTATTTTTTTCAAATATCTTAATGCATAAATAAATTTGAATAGGCAGGGACTAAACTGGACATTGGAGTTAATGAAAATAAGACGGCGTACATCAAATGTTCAAGAAGATAAAAGGAAGTGAATAGTAAAGTAACTTTGAGAGATAACAACTTTAGGTCTGTAAACCAGTTTAAGTACCTGAGGAGCCTGGCTATACAAGATGACAAAGTAAAGAGTGGAATAAATGCCAGGGTAGCACCAAGAAATAGATGCTATTTCTCAATGCTAAGAGATTTGAAATTTAGACCCCACTCTGAAACAATAAAAATTCTGATCTACAAAACCATAGTAAGACAACCATGCACATGTACATAACCATGTATGGGTTTGAAACATGGATTTTGACTAGAAAATCTAAGCGCATGCTCCAACCCATCGGAGAGAAACGTGTTGAGAAGAATATGGGATGGAGTCGGGTTTGGAGAGAATGAAGAAATTTGTTTGAAGGAATGATGAGCTTTGTTTCATTGATAAAAAAAAGCCCAGATAAGATGGATAGAACAATTTGTGGAAATGCACGATCAAATTAAGTTAATTAAAGTCATATTTATTTTATTCTTTAAATGTGTTTTATATTCATAAGAAGACTGTGGAAAATAGGTAAATATGAATGAAATAAAATTAATTTGTTAGTTATTAAAAATTTTCTGTAAGTCAAAAATTGTGTTTATCCATGACATTTTGTTTAATAGTAGATTTTTCCAAGGTTTAACTAACGTCCTGCAACAGTGTGATATGGTAAGAAGTTATAATCAGTTTACCTTTGGTCAACAAAGAGAAATTTTCCATCCATTGCATGCCTGGAAATGAACTGGAGGGGCCTGACATTTATAGGAGTATGAGAGCTGCGAAGAGGCCTAGGGTGTGGAAGAGGTATGAGGACGACCCTGCCCATTGCAACTAAGCAGGATAGATTGCACAAGTCTCCCTCAGTTTCCGATTCTTTCTCTTCCTCTAGGCACATCTTAGCTGTTGCCCAGGGCTTGAGGTATCCAGTACATTGTATCACACGATATCTCCTATCTAACAATAAAATTCATGTTAAAATTTTGATCGAATTCAACTTCCTAAAATGAGAAATAATATTAAAAGAGTTAAGTTTGTTAATAGTCGTACTTTGTTATTTTATTAATTGAAAATTGAAATGTTTATTGTAGCACTCTTATCCTTCCTTCACCATTAGGAAATTATATAATATTTATAAATAATTTTTAAAATACATGTTATCTCAATGTAAAAACAAGAACACAGTTGGTTGTTATAATGATTAACGAATCTGTATAATAGTTTATCATAAATCTTTTTCATAGGAATCTTCGTTGAAGTTGCCTTATCATACACTGTTCCATCTTTAACACTTTCAGGAAAAATCGTTTTAGAAATCATTTGCCAGAAATTCAATTGCTTTATCCTAGTAACATCAAAAAGGAAAAAAATATTAACAATGAAATGTATATAGATCACACAGATATTGATAATAAAATCAGAATTAACATGTTAAAAACAAACTCACTATTTAGTAATGTAAAAATGATAAAATTACATTAAATCACATCTTAAGTTGAATAAATGCTCAGTAATTCAAACATTTTTCATATTTAAAAATTCATTGTGATCACTTACTTCTAAATATTATGTGTCTCGATAGGATATTAATTGTTCCTATAAGTAAATATTAATATAAGTTATTTTTGTATTAATTGTATTCATATATTACGTATTGTAATGTATGAGGTAAGTATACGTATAAATTACAATTCTTAAGCCTAAATGTAATAGGATATGACATGCATTAATTATTTGAATTTCTAAGTCATTGCTGAGGTTATTTCAATTAATTTTAATCTGCTACTTTATTTTTCAATAATGTGAGAACAAGACCCAATTGATTATTTTCCACAATGAATTTTACATCATCAAAAAGAAAGAAAAACTATCAATAGTGAAAAACATTTTTTTTGTGTTGCCGTTTGGTATTATTATATATCATGAGATGTTACATTTATAGTTTTAGTCATACAAAACATTAGTTCTTATGATGATGGCTTAAAGCGAACCCAATAAAATCTGAAGTTCAGCATTTGAGTAATCTGGATGAACTTTCTTATCTTTTTTTTTTCCTTATTTTTGAATCTTGAAATATGATGAAGAGCGGCATGACATAATTTGATAAGTCAGATTTAAAATAGTAAATAACTTGAAGATCTTTATTTAAAACACATTAATAATTCAGTGTTATCTCATCAAGGTTCTGAAATACCTAGGATTAGGTAAGACGAATTAATAGTGCTAAAAAAATTATTCCTTAAATCACTATCAAGAAGAAAAATTACATTATTTTCCATATCCATTAGTTCCAATTAAATATTACTACTAATAAATAATAATACTGAAGTATATTTAATACCCTAGAAAATATAAAATACAATCCCACAATTAAAAATGATCAGTCAAATACTGTTTGTAAAGAGAAATATTGGCCTCACCAGACATCCCTTGCCCTTGCTGCTTCTTCCTCCGGTGGCAGCCGGTGGTGGTGTCCGCTTCCTCTTTGACCGTCGTTGTCACTGTTTTGCACTTCATCCTGCAGAAGAAGGACCTCCGAGATCCTGGGCTCAGCCTACTCCCACTCTGCGGCACCTCAGTCTTCACCGGCAGCATCGCTAACTCACATAGGACACGGTGCTATTAACATTCAAGTTGGATATCTCCTTCAGGATGAAAGAGGCACGACTTGAAATTTTAATTATTTGGCCCCTCTAGCCGCCAAAGAGTAGCCAGCCATCAAACACAATGCCATGGCTAATAGACAAAATAATAGGTGCGGGGAGACCCTCTGATGTCTCTAGCCCTTACAATATACCAGTCATTCACTTAAAAATGACTCATAAACAAGTTCAATAAATTATACATGACAGTGTATGTATTAAGTATAGAATTTTACAGGTAATAAATTGGTGCTTGGACTACTCCTCTGGATGGCATTCTTTATTTTTGATTTTTTTTTAGTTGTGCCCCATTCATGCTGGTGTACAGGACTGTCACATGGGCGGTGTAATCAGAGGGGGAGGGGTGTAAACTCTGGACATATAATATTAAAACAATAGTAATAATATTATTGTAATTTACATTTCAGCAAGCCAGCAAGAGATTAGAAATTTACCAACCATCGATTAGCTGTTGCAGCAGGGTGAGAGGGGCTGGAAAAATCACCCCCCACGTTCCTTCCAACCATGCTATGGCCATGCTAATTTGCGATTTAAAATCCCACGTACTTATTTTATTAACAAAAATATAAATTTGTATCTATTCAACAATAAAAAAACAAAGTATCAACAATTATTTATTGTATCCAATAAATTAGCAACTTTAACATTACTTTAATATGTGCATTTTGAAACCGTGTGAATATATATATATATATATATATATATATATATATATATATATATATATAAAAGTAAGTTTCTTAGGTGTCATGTGTTAACACGTCATTGATTCAGAATAAATACAAATTTGAGTTCATATTATAAAATTAATACATTATAAATACTAATAATAAGTCTTACAAGAATAGAGTATAGCTGATTTAAGAAAGATAAAAGAACCAATTAAGACTAACCAGGTTTTTAATTAATTACTAAATAAAATACTATCCTGCTGAGACAACATTTACCATTACTGCTTGTAGTTTTTTACTTTTAAAATATCCTTTAAAACTGAATATTTTGTCCGACAAAAGTTTTTGTTGCAAAAAATTGTTGCTGCCTCCATTAGCAATGCCTTGCCCTACTGCGGCCTCTATTGATAAAGAGGTTCCTCACACATAGCAAAAGCTAATACCGATTTTGAGTGTCTTGAAAATAATATTAATCACTTTTAGGATTAGATGACTTTTAGTATGGTGCATCGGAAGTAGATTGAATTTCCTACAACCAAAATGTATTTTTGTTGACGTTATTGCCAACTAATGGGGTGAGCAAAGCGTTGATTATCTGTCTGTTAATCAACTGTCAAATCTTGTTTTTATTTTTATGAAATTGGAATTGTTTATAATAATTTCCACAATTCAAGAAATCAAACCAGAATTTTAAAGGCTCTATCTGATCTTTATTTCTCAAATAGTTTTTACATAGTGAATATGTTGCAATTCCTCAATTTAATATTGTACCAACAAACTGTTCAAAATATTCTTAAAATAAACTGTCTATATTGTTATATGTAAAATTAACTGTCGTGTGTAAATTAAATGTTAGTAATAAAATTATTAATTGTTTAATTTTCATACTCTATTTTTTGTAAATTAGATTCTGAATTTGAGGTCTTTGAATTAAAAAGTTGGAATTTTATGAAATTGTTTCCCTTAATTCTATTTTATTTTATTAGTCTATGTTTGAACATTAAATAAGATATGCATTGATTTTTCAAGCATAATAGGTACAAATGTCAACAATACAATAATAAAATTTATAAATCAAGTGTATTATTTATATACATTATTATTTGTTGGTAGTTCCAAATTAGCTATTTGCATAATTGCTTCGATTATATGGACTATTTCAGTATCCATACCTGGACCAGGGCTGGCGTTTTATTGCACATATATGTATTTCAGCTGTATTCGATGATTCTAAGACTTATTTTATGAAGCAGCATATTATGGGAATGTTGATATCTATTCGGAAGTCTAGTGGATCTTTTCATAATTAAGTTAAACATTATAATGAAATAGTATTATTGGATCATTTTATATAATAATGAAATACATTTAATACAATACTTTTTGCATCGATGAATCTCTCTCTAGGGCTGAGGTGAGAGGATGAAAGTTGCTCTTTTACTTTAGCTACATCTTTTGGATGCAAGATGTCAAACCAGCTTTGGCCCAGTAAGTCCGACTGAAACATTGTATTTATCATTAGAATTCATCAACTTTTTTGTTTGAATTACAATATGAGAACTAGTTAAATAGACTTGGTAAAAAAAAGTTATTGTCTTGTTGAAGGATTCATGAACTATCAAATTGTTTTGAACATAAAGTTTCTTAACATGGGATAATTCCTGAAAAATATTTATTACACAAAAATTACCTTTTTCTAGTGATTGGAGCTATGTTCTTGAATAATTGGCTTATCCATAGAGAGTTGAATACCCTCCAAGCTTATTGTGTAAGAAGCCTAACAAGTTTTGAGCCACGGAACCTGTGGGTTATTTATTATAAACTATCCTACAATGACTATTATTATTCTGAAATTTTCATATAAAAATTATTAATTGATTTTTATTTTAATTCCTTACAATATCTTATGTTATTTCTTCATGTTCTTTTATACTGATGTTTTGTTAATTTATAACTCATTTGAAGAAAATAAATGCAAAAAAAATTATAAAAGTTTTCTTCAAATATGAATGAATGTCTTAGAACAAGTGAATGAACAATGAACAGCAATTCTTCGGAAATCAACATTACCTGAGTATAATTTAGAGCTTGAGAAACAGATTCTGAAACGTACAAGATCCGACCTCTGTCACAACCCACCACAAACACAAATCCCTCAGCTGCCTAGAAAAAAAAGTTCAATAATTAAATAAAGAAATAAACTATATTTATGAGAATAATTTCATCTGAGGATAACTGATGAGGAACTGATTAAATGTATATGTAGATATATTTGTTGATGCATCTGTCTGAATTCACAGATACTTCTTACAACTTTGGTAATCGTATAAATACATGTATTTGTTTTTGACAAAATTAATTATTAATTACATAAGCAGATTTTATAGGAATGAATATTGAGATCTAGAATATTATATAGGTGAATAAATTAATTAATAATCTTTTTCCATCTCAATCTTACTAGAAAATATACAATAGACATCATGGGTATGAATATGGTTATAGTAATTGACCTAGTTATAACAGAGGAACAATAGTTATAACATAGAAGCAAACAAATTTAAGAAATGTTTAAAGATATGATGATTTTTTTTTTTTGAGGAAAAGAAGTTGATCAAAAGTTACTTGGAAATTTTTAAAATAGGTCTGAAAGTTGATAAGATAATTGAAACAAAATACAGGATTTTAAGGAAGAAAATTAAGGACGTGATTGAAACTTATAAAGGTTCAATAAGGAAATCTAACAGAAAAATACACAACACTACATGGTCAACTGTGTCATATTCAAAACTTAATTGATGCTAATTGAACTTAATTAATTCATGCACTCCATGTATTTCTTTTAAAATTTAAATATTGTAGTTTTTTCCTTTAAATTATCAGCCTTTCTCTACTAAATATATTTGAGAAAGGATATAATGGAAATAAATATTAAAGTAAGTAACTTGACACACCCATTTTAAGGATGTCACTGTTGTTAATTCTTTCTACCTAGAAATACTTTTAAAAATACACGAAACAAGGTGATCTGTTCTATGACCTGCTTTAAGCCCAGGAGCAACACGGCTTCAAGATCATTTCTCTTTAAATATAGACAATATTTGTTACAAGCCTTATCATAATTATTATAAGCCTTGAAGTATTTTTTTACACCATTAAGTTCTTGTGCATTAGTTTCCCAATAATGGCAAGCCAGTTATGATCAAACCCTGTACATCGAGCGAAGTTTGTTAATAATTTGTTGAGAATAATTTGAATTAATTCGGTCTCAGAAACTAAGTAAGGTTTTGTGTCCATGAAATACTAAATCATCACTCCCAGGCTTACTGTACTGGTATATGTACAGGCGTACTGGTAGCAGTTTACAAAATAATTTCCTAGATACAGTTATATTTTAAAAAAAGCTTGTCTAATTTGGTCTAAACATAGAATGAATTTGGTTATTAGGAAAATAATGCTCTAGTATCAATTTTATTCACAATTTTCGGTCTCGTGTGAGCGAACTTATTTGCCTTGATAGATCTAATAATAAAAATGGCCCGTTCGATTTGGTTCAAACTTAAATTTTGATGGTATATATTTTTTAAAAATAGAGCAATAGTGTGCTTTTTACTCTTTACATCTACAGTTGTCTTATAAAGTTTCTAATGTGAGCATACATAATCGATGTTGATGGATACATAATTCTGAAAAAACAACTTCAGACTTAGAGAGAGATTTTCTAGTGAGTGCGAAGCCAGGGAGTGTTGATTCAGTCTTTCATGGACATAAAAGCTTACTTAGCTTCCGAGACCGAATTAATTCAAATTATTCTCAACAAATTACTAACAAACTTCGCTCAATGTACAGGGTTTGATTATAATTGGCTTACCATTATTGGGGAACTAATGCACATGAAAGTAATGGTGTAAACAAATACTTCAAGGCTTATAATAAAACGAATATTGTCTATATTTAAAGAGAAATGATCTTGAAGCCGTGTTGCTCCTGGGCTTAAAGCAGATCATAGAATAGATCACATTGTTTCGTGTATTTTTAAAAGTATTTCTGGGGAGAAAGAATTAACAACAGTGACAACCTTAAAATGGGTGTGTCAAGTTACTTACTTTAATATTTTTTCCATTATATCCTTTCAAGAAAGCCCTAGATTTAGAACTCCCTCCTTAAATAGATCCAAATGAATTCTATACAATGAATGATAAGCAGGCCTCCAAAAGCATAGATTATGATAAAAAAAAATTATGTAACTGCTTTAAATTGTGATTTGACCCTATCCAGTTACATACAAGTAAGTGTGACTGGATTTTGTAAATGACTCATATCTATAATGACCCTCTGTCTGACATACACGCACAAATTAATAATAGTCGTACCTGCTTGATGAGCTGTTTCAGCTGGAGATCGGAAAGGAAGGCTGGCTTGTAGTTGCCGTCGGTGTAGGAGTTGACGGCGCCTCGGATGGTCTTCATGTGCTGGACGGCCATCCGGAGGACTGTCAGCTTGTCCAGCTTTCTCGACATGGCGTGGCACATGGGCACCATGGCGGAGAGCTCTGTGATGTACGTGTTCATTTTGTCCCTTCGCCTCTTCTCGATCTCGCTATGGTTCTGCCTGTAATTCGATAATGGGCCGATTCAACGGTTTTACAAAGGAGATAAAGATGCAGGTTGTTTATCGAAACAGTGACCATCAAATAATTTGTTGCTTAAAGAAAATAAATTTTGTAATATCCAAGAATGCCCGCTATCTTCGTTATGCGGTAGCTGAGAGTATACTTAATCGAAAAAAAGGTTTCGCATTCATGGATTGCTTCTTTTCGGTTGGGAGAAAGGAAAATAATTTCAAGTTAATTCCAGTATGTCATTAACCTTAGACTTTCCTTATCTTGACGTTGAATGAAAATTATATTAAAATTTATATTTTCGAGTTATAACACGTGGAATAATAATCTATACTCCTCTTGGTAACCATTTATCAGACCATTATATGTACGCATTGCCCTAAAGGTATGCTACATTAATGATTATAAGAGGTTTATATATTCATTTGATCAATTTAAATTCAAAAAATACAACACTAATAATAAACTCAAATTTTTATGAAACACAAAAAAATAAAAACAAAATTAAACTAAATTAATGTAGTAAAGTAGACAGATTTAAAGTCGACAAGAATATTTTTGTTCAAATTAAGCAAGTCTGTCTTAAATTTGAAACACAAATGTCGTACCTTGTTCTTTCCTTCTGAAAACAGCCTATCTTCCATTTTATGAAAAGTGTTAAATTCTGAAATTTTTCACTGTTATATTTTAATATACTTAAATACATACACTTACCTACTCAAACCCATCTGGACATACGCCTTTCAGATTTACGGTTCGGCAAAGACACACTAACAAAAACTTTTTTCATTTCAACCCAAAATTTTACGACTTATAACAGGAGCTCCCTGGTACGTCAAAAACTAAAACACTTTACATAACGACTTACGACAACCAACTATAGACCAACACATACGTACTCTACTCTCGTTTTCACCTCAAACTACACGGACACACAAACAGATTTATAACCGCATGGCTACGACTGACATGCCCATCAGGAGAAGATTAAAAAGGAGCTGGATGAGAGATCTTTTCATCTAAATAAAAAAAATAAATAATGACCAGGAAGAGGTGCTGCTGGGTACTATCCTTCTTCATGCCTTTAATGGCTATCCTCATCATCAGAACACATCTGCTGATTGTCAACACCATGACAGGTGCGGGTAAATAATTAAAGAGAAAAAAAAATATACTTGGTGAAGATATTTTATTCCTAATAATAAAAATATTTGTTGTCTATATATTCTGGATTTTTGCTTGTCATGAAATAATTAAAACATTTCACAAATTATAGCACAAGAAAATGTTAATAAACATTGGCTGTTACGGCGGTGGAGCAGGCAAAAATGTGTTAGGTGAGTGTTATGCGGATTAGTATCACAGGGGCTTATACGGCGGGATCGGTGTCTTGAAGAAGGAACTTTTAAGTTAACTATTAATAATTTTATTAACTAATATTAATTTCAATTATATATATATTGAATTTTAACTTTATTTTGACAATCAGCAAATATGCTGAAAATACAAGAATTAATAACATGTCAGGCATTTTTAGCCTCTTCTTCATATTCAGAGGTATGTCAGTTGTGGCCATATCTATAATTATGTGACATAATTAATATGTGACATAATAACATAATTATGTCCATTTAAATTATTATAAATTCGTTGGCAAAGGGTCGTTATATGTTGTTCAACTGTTGGAAGGTGGAGATCAGTATGTAAAGTTTTGTTCGAGCCAAGGTGCTTTTTTTATGAGTCGCAATAATTTTGTTTGTAAGGTTGGAAGATTTTGTAGGTGGGTCTTATTAGTGATACCGTATGCCTTTATGAGTTTAAGTAAGTAACATGTATTCAGTTTTGAAGATATAGAAAAGAGAGGGTAAAGTAGTTACATATAAATGTAATAAGTGTCTTACATATAAATGTAATATTTAAATTTAGTTTATTATTTTATTATTATAATTGAGCATATCGAATGAAGATGGACAATAAAATATCTAGAGGGGGAGCGCTGCAATGAATCAGTAAAACATTGAAGACAGTTTGGTTGGAACGTAGAATGGAAGATTTCGTTCAGTATTTGGATTTTGACAGATATGTGGACGACACTAATTATATATCGAACCTCCTGGCAATAATATTATTAATTTGTAAAACTGATTAATACTAAAATGGCTTTTAAGTAATGATCAAGCAGATTTTATTGCATATTCGCGGTAGAACATCCATTTTCCAATTCTCTTTAGTTTAGTACTGGAATATCTCATTTGAAGATAAAAATTAAAAGATGCTAACGGTATCATACATTTTGCTTGCGGGGATTGCAAGATTGGAACATATATTTGTGTTTTTAGCGAAAGATGTAATCTATGATTAGTTGCTGAATCAGTTATTATAAATATAAATGTTCACAAAGAAAATTATTTTATTATTAAAAAAAAGGGTATTCCTTTCAAAGTACAATAACCCCGATTAGCAACGGACGGAAATAAATTAGTTTAAAACAAGCGTAAACTTTCTTCTTTACTTTCTCTTTAAAATGTATTGAAATCTAGAAGGGCGTACAATGCTTTGATAAAGCCAGTTTTGATATTTTTGCTGGGGGATCTGAACACTAATCAGCACCATAAAAATAAGTATTTAAAGATTTGAAAGATAATTCTTCCTTACTTAACTAGAGCGATCCTGGATCGGAGTAATTATGCATTGGAGAGAAAGGCCAAGAAGAACTGATTAAAAATTTAATGATGTGTCTAATATTCAGTATGAAAAAAAAATAAGCAAACAGATAGGTCTAATGGTTATAGTAAAATTAATGTATCAAATAACAAATATACAGATAAAAACAGAAAAAATGTTTGAAGGATAAATGTAGATGAAAATAAAGTGGTTATCTATCTATTGGATTTGAGAAGGGAATCTATGAAGGAAAATATTTTATAGGATCGGCACTCCCATTTTTATTATTTTTATGAATTAGATCCGTCAAGAATCGAAGAGCCTTGGCACGTAATGCCTTAATGCTCTCCTTTTCTCAATTCAAGTAGCCAACTAGCACGTGACTTTTACTTGATTTGAAAGTAAAAACAAAAGCAAACGCATGTTTTACTTAACCTTAGTTAGGGGAGCCGCCCTCGGCTAGGAATGCCGTAATGCTGGATTTGTCCAACAAGGTCGAGGTCTTAAGCTGGCGGCTGATATCGATGATCCACACTTCGTAGTTTTATTTCTGACAAACCTCGGCGGAGTTCAAGGATGGAATCCGCAAGTTCAAGGATTTGGGAGGAGTAAGGTGGGTAGAGGCGGCATCGGAATGTACTTCTCGTTTATCGTGATTTCGATCTCTATATAGTAATTTAAGATGGATCATATTTTTATTTTTCAACTGAGAATTATTGTCATGTAGTTGAAAGAACATGTATTTTTTATTAAGTTAAATGATTGATTGAAATTCTTGCCTTCACTTTTGAACAGGTGATTTTTATTTATTGTTATATTTATTTATATTATTTAACGTGTTAACTGACTACCTACGAGATTACTCGTAAATATTCTTCTTCTGTAGGACCTCAACGAGTTATCTTGTAGTTTGTTTACTATTTAGTTTTTGACGATTATTGTAAATTAAAATTAGCGTTATTAATAATATATGATTAAATTCAACAGTTTTTTTTTAAACCGGGATCCTGAAAAGTACCTTGAGTAATCAAACTGTTAAGTTTAACATTTTTGACAGCTTTTAATACCTCCAATGCACTTTTACATAACGCAGGCTATTCTATTTTTTATTTTAAATCTAAAATATCATTTTTACTATTTTAAAACAAATAATTATCAACTGCTTCTTACAGGTTTTCATATTATGGATGATAATAATGGGCCATTTTTATTAAATAAAGTGCATATAGGATATATTAGAATAGAATAGAAAATCCTCTTTATTCTGGGACTAGGTCCCTTAAGAATAACAATATTGTTCATATAAATTAACAATAAATCTGGCCAAAAGACCTATTACAATAAAGAATAAGTAAAATACAAGTAATAAAATAAGTACATACATAGCTCTTAGGATATACTAACGAAAACAGATGGGTAATAGGGTTACAGTACTACAATATTGGAGCTAAACCTATAACACAATAATCACTAAATCAAATTAGAAAGGAACACTAAATACATTTTATACGGAAAGGCATTGCAGTGATGGAATATAAAAATTTAAAAAAGAATAACTACTGTAAATAAATGATTTACATATGTTCCTTAATATATTTAAGTGAATACACATACAGATCAGGAGAAGAAAAAAAAAATATATATATATATATTTACATAGCAGGAGTGTGTCGAAGATAAGTAGAAAATAAAATACATTTCAAAGAAATACAATCTTATGAATAGGAAAAATATAAGTTAAGAAAAACAAATTATACCACAATGCTTTGTGATTGGTGATGGAAATTCATGTTCAACACAGAATAAAAAATAAGAGAAAAAAAACAATGTATAAAGATAATTAAATCGTTATTACATAATAAATATTTAGCCAGAGTCTGATTGAATTGTGAAGAGGAATTAGAATAAGAAGGTTTTCAATGTGGATAAGAATGACGCATGGCGGATTTTTAGTGGGATGGGATTATAGAATGCAGTGGAACGGATAACAAAGGAATGTTTAAATGAGGCAGACCTGTGGAAAGGAGTGTAAATGTCAGAAGGACGAGATGTTGTGGAGTTATCTTTTCTTTTTTAAAATAATTTTTAATTCAATCAGTCCATAGAAATAATTCATATTTTAGTTAAAATAAAAGATACATTTAAATTGAAAAATTGTAGGTAAATAATTTTTAAAGAATCCATAAACCAAATTTTACTGGAATAAATACATGCGTTTCGTTACCTCAGTTCAACGTTTCGCACTCCGCTCAACGTTATTTACATATTTTCGTCCTAGTTTACTTATTATTTTTAATAAATAAAAGTTTTCCTGAAGAAGTGACTTATGCTATTCGATTTCTCGGCCGAAAAAACACTCCACTTTGCAGATATGCTGAATGACAGGGTTTTCTTGCACCAGAGAATAAAATATATGAGTGTACATATTACTACAAGGAAAGAAGTTTGATAAACTTTTTACAAACCACACGAAAAATTACAATCGGGACATGAACATTTCTCGTTGCATTGTCCTGATGAAGGACGGGCGCCTTGAGATGTCGGTGAAAGGTATCAACTAAACGATAATCATTGTCAATGCTATTGTTCTTTCACACTTGAATGATTTAGAATGAAACATGAAAGGTAGCAGGAAGTACGTAGCAATAGAGGGTACGTCACAACCATAGATAATAAAACTTAGGGAAGCCCCATCACTCCTGAATATAATATCAGCCGATCAGCCGATCGGCACTCCTGCCCATCCTCCTACACCGAAGGCCAATGCTTCATCTCCCCTCCCTCCCTCCCTTCAAAACATTGATTTTTATTCTCAGAGTATAAACAAATGTAGTTTAGTTTTATCATTTTTTCCTTGGTTTTGAAAGTTATCTTCAGTTTAAATCTAATAAAAATATGGTTACTACCGAAAATTCATAACCCCGTAATTATGTGCACCAATCAAAAATTTCGATGGCGCTATTTGCGACTTTTAAACCGTGCCCCCCCCCCTCTCCAAATGAATCCTACCAGATGGGAATAAACATCCTCTCATTGAGGTTCTGATGCATCCCTCAGATGTTTACCTGTGGTTCACCGCTGATTACCTTCCTAGTGCTTCCTTCTTATCGATTTCGTTCCGCTCCAACGAGTTAACCTATTCGTTTCAATCTTCCTGGGGTTTAACATTACATTTATCGGGTACATAAAAACACGAACTTAAGAGTTATGGAAAACATATTCTAGATTATATGTAGGATAAAACCCTCAGTTTTCTGCACCCTTGAGGAAGCTATAAAATGTGTCTGTCCAGTTTTCAATCGCGTGGGCACTTAGTTTAACAATTTCGGTTCTTTTAATTCAGTAAAGATCTCTAATTTCATAATATATATATTTGAAACAGCGTTTTCGAGTTTTCAGTACACCTTATTCAATTTTAAAAAATCTAAAGAATTAAATATAGCAGCTTTTAGAATAAAAGAATCTAATATTGTTGGGAAATGTGTGTTTTATTCTGAACACATAACACACGTCCTTCCTGGGCGACACTTGTTAGGTTTCGAATCTTCAACGATTTATTTCGTCTTATAGAACTAAGTAAATAGTGGAAGAAGCTAGAAGCGCAGGAGGGATTCCCATCAAATTAGCCAGCTCTAGACCGTTCCCGACGCTTAATATTCTTCAAAAATTGGATGGGGTGCGACAGCTGAGGATTTAAGCCAGTTTAATTTCACGCCATTCTTTATTATGAGAAATAAAATGCAGAAAACCAGTCTAGATTGATTTCAAGTAACAACAGTACGATATACTTCACTTGTTGCCCCTAGCGGATCCAGGATTTAATTTTGGGGGGCTTCAGCCAGAAGGATTTTTTTTTTCATAAATCTTCATAAAAATAATTTGAAAAAAAAATTAACTACCAATATGAAATGGTGTTTAAGTGGTTCCTGAAGTCCTATTAACTGTAATTAAACGAACAAGAATACTTTAAGAGATAGTTTTTAATATTTTTTTTTTTGTGTAAAATATGGTTATATTTTACCATTTTGAGGGGGTCTTCACCCCAAAAGCCCCCCGTAGATCCGCCTGTGCTTGTTGCTAGACGGTCCGAATTAAAGAGAGCCAGTTCAGCTTCCAGAGTTATCGTCAAGTATATCCGACTCGTAAAGTGAACGCGAATGAAACGGCAAAGCGTCCTGACCGATTAGTAATGACTTCGTGTTTACAAGTTGTTTTTCTAAACTATTTTTTGGTCTAAGATGCTAGATAATTACGTAGCTGTGAGTAGAGAGCCGTAAGATGGCGGGTCAGAGGCAGTGGCAGTGTGATGGGCAGCTGTTACGCAACTAGTGAACAAGGTCAAGTCTCCGCGGGGCTTCAAATCCAATAACCTACTTGAAGGAATGGAAGCTGATTCGCTAGAGCTCGGTCAAAATATCACCCTAAGCCTCTCCGGTGGCTATAATTAGGTCGCTTCAGGACAAAAATAGTCACTATACTACATGATACTCATCGGAGTGTACGAATCATATCACCCCTCTGGGATTAGAAAACCCGAATATTATATCACCAAGTACTACCTTTTCAGATAACTGACCCTAACACCTACGATGTAACTGATCTTATGATATTTCAGGATTAAATAGGTAAAAAATACCACAGGGCTACAGCAACATAAATTAACTATATTTTTGTAAAAAAAAGTACATTCAACAAAAGAAAGACATTTTAATTTAGGTATTAAGGAATAAATCAGGCTAGATTGAGCTCAACTTGAATCCTATATCCTCTTCGACATAGTGCATTTATCTTTACAATTGCATCGTACATCGTAGTAGATTATCAGAATTAATCGTGTTTATCAGTGTTTTAACATTTACTGCCGTCCTTAGACATTCGGCCCCCGCCCGGACAATGACGTCATGTCTCATTTCTCCTTCCCCCCCCCCTCAAAAAAACATTAAAAATTATTTCTTAAGCTGTTTTAATATATATTATGTAAAATTTAAATGTTATCTCAGTCAACATTTTTCTAACACAGTTGCTTTATTGATAGGCTAAAATTAATTATTTTAATACATTTAGCTTTTTTGTTTTATTTCTAACAAGTAGCGAGCGACCCTAAAGATCCGTTCCTCTATGGACACCTATGAACCCTTCGGCCGGCATTGGTTTCATTCAATAATATTTTTTTAAATAATTGATTCCACTTTGAACGTTTCATAAAAATGTTCATCCACGGCTTATTTAGGTAGTCCGCTTACATTCTGGAACCTTCTTAAATACTACCTGTGGTTACGTATCATAGTTTTAAAATCTCTACTCTGAGGTACTGAAAAATATCGCGTGACTTCTCTTCCAAAACTGTATCTTTTCCTTATTATTCTAAATACTAGTATGTTTATTGTTTCATTTTTAAAAAAAGATTTGCAAATAAAATAATTAAAGGGCGAGAAAAATCTAGACCTTATAAATAAACTTGTTTACTATTGAAGCTTGTTTAAGATCTTTAATAGAAAGACGTAGACGCAAAAAAAAAAAAAAAAAATCGAATAAGATGAAACGAAATGGTGAAGTTGCCAAAATCACAATTATACTTCATAAAAAAAAAAATGCAATATGAATAAGTTTTAGAAATGGATATAAAGTTGACTATTTAATTTGTAGAGAGTGGGGTACATCAGTGGTAAGGCACTCAGCTTTTAATGCCCAAGTTCCTGGGTTCGAATTCCGGCTCATGGCAGAAAAATTATTTATTCTGTTTCAAAGTGGGTACCCTTAATCAAATAATTGATTAAGAGGGAAAACCTAGCGGTTGAGTGTGATCCTGGCCCGTTCCTCTCCTGCACAACCTTTGGCCTTGAAACAGTAGTCTTTCCCTAAATAGTACTGAACCCAAGACCCTTCATGGGTTGTAGCGATACAGAAAAAAAAATTAATTGGTAATTAAGAAAAATGGCGAGGATGTGTGGTAAAAAAATTATGTTTATCAAGTTTGTTGACGTTTCGACACAACCAAATCGAAAATGTGAGATCTCGATTTGTCGGTACCTTCAGAAAATTATATAATAACATAACCTTTACACAATAAAGTAATACGAATTTAATTTAAAATTAAATAAAGAAATCAACAAAATAAAAGAAATCATTATTAGGTAATTCGTATACTAGTTGGGTCTGCTCATTTCACGTTAGAAGTGATCTAATATATAGTACAACGAATTCATGTGAAACCTGAAATTCCATTTAGGGCTTTTAAGTAAATTTTATGGTGTGCCTAATTCTAGTTTTAACTAAGTTTTTAAGTATTAACATCAATTACTTACTTTTTATGGTCGTCCGTCCGAACTGATTTGCTGTCGTCCCCAGTATCATCGTCACTCCCCTCACTGAAACATAACAATACATTATTGAAACATATCTATGGCTCTATGATAGTTACATTTTTACTTTAACTAGCAAATACCTACATGAAATATATAACAACAGAAGGTATCGTGATCTTAAAAAAAACAAAAAACGTATCATTTGGAATCCGTATCTTCAACAGAAATAGATGTTTAAATATCTCTGGGTCCATACAACAGAACATATAAGTTTTAAAGGAAGGAGATGGTCCGGGATGGCGGTCATAAATAGGCTAACTAGTGGCAAAACTATTTCATTGAAAATAGTAGACCGCCACCCCGGACCATCTCTTTCCTTTATAATGCAACGGTCAACTATTAAATATTTAATATATAAGTCTTGTGTGTGTTTTTGTAATACATTTTTCCCGAACTATTCTTCGATTAAAAATTGCCAAAAACATAAATAATAGTTCCATACTTGTTATATCTATTTAAATGGTATTCTATTTTGAATTTTGAACCTGAGAAATGATTTGGATTAGTGTTTTGGTTTATTATTTTACTTCAGAAAATTCATAATTAGTAATCATAAATTAGGTTTGCGTCAAATTTACAATTAATTACTTTGTAGTTCTAGCTAAGTAGTAGTATTATATTTTGTTTTTTATATTTAGTATTTAAAGCATACGAACATATAAGTTCCTATTACAAACGTCTCTAAGTCTTAATACAAAATAAATTAATCATTTAAACTGTCATGATAAAAAGAAGGAATTAAAAATAGAAATAGGTACATATGAAAAATTGAAAAACATCTTGCCTTGAATAAATAATGTTTCCTTAAAATAATGAGTTATTTTGTCGAACAGTTTTAAAAAAAATAAATCCCTATCTTGATTTGTATTCCAATAGATTTCTGAGGTTTCCAATAGATTCCAACCTTCACATTTTTAAATTTTTTTTTTCATTCGACACCTAAGTCACCAATCATCGCAGGATAACTCAACTATCAATCCCTCGGAACTGAATATTACCACCCACCATTTTATTTCAAAATGAAGGTCGATTAGAGATTTCATAGCACATATCGGGGAACATTATAAAGATAGAGGAAATATATTTAGTGTTTTAAAGTAATTAGTTCCAAAGTATCAACAAACAAATAAAGAAATTATATTTAAAAAATTCTTAAATAGCTAAAAAAGTTTTTGAAATAATAAATCTTATAATAATAATAATTTGGAGTAATATTTATATTAAAAATTACGTAAAGTTCGTGGTACCGACCCCTTTTTATCAAATGATTAATAATCGTCTAAAACTTCGCGAATGGCCTAATGTTATCGTAACCAAAACTGTATTATTTAAGGAAATGTTCGAAAATTTTCAATCTGAGGATCGGTAAACCTAATCAATTTGATTAGATACTAAAATCGGGTACATTTCTACATGAAAATTAAAGATAACTAATAAAAAAGAGTTTATTTATTTATATCTTGTAGAAGCATAAAATCTAAAAGTTATTTATATTAATATTGCTATTTTTTATTATTTATAATAAATTTAAATCATTCTGTACCATAAGCTAATTTGTTTTCTATGTGTTAAATTCATTAAAATCATTTTTTATGTTTAATTTGTTATTGCAAAACCAACTCACATAAAAAAACTTCAAACTTTTCAGTCTAAGATACTACGACTAATCACTCAAGCACCATGGTACGTAAACAATCACACTTTACACACCGACCTACACGTTCCGACAGTCAATGAACAAATACGAACGTACTACAAACGATTTCATAACATGTTAAACGGGCACTCCAACCAGCTGGTAAAAGAAATGGCCACAACTAGTATGGCCGAGAACTCCAGAAGACGACTGAAAAGGGTCTGGATGAGGGATCTGCTTAAACAATGTTAGTAAATAAAAGCCATGGAAGGGATGCCGCTGGGTATTGTTATTACTCATGCCTATCAAGCCTTTTTATTTATTTATATTATTTTTTTTTTTTCTCTCTCATTACTAAGCCAGCAACTCTGCTGATTGTTAATAATAATTGACAGGTGCGGATAAATATATGTAAGTGGAAAAAAAAAAAAATTGTTATGTTGAATCACCAAAAACAAATTTGATTGAAATTAGTAAACCACTTAGTGTAAACTCCGTTTGTGAGTGTGAATTTAGCAAAAAAACGGTTGTTGAGTGAATATCTTACTATTTTTAATTGTAAGCTAAGCGAAGAAGTAATTTGAGTAAAAAAAAAAATGCGATAAATGAGGTCAATCTTGTACTTTATATAACGATATCATATTATAAGTTCATTTATTAATTGAAAGTTGACTATCCCTTAAATAATGGATGGAGTTTTAATCCTATCCTCTTCTTAGAAATTTTCTGGATCGACTTGAAGAGCTTGAGAATTGTTATCTTAATTTTAAAATAGTTCAGTGATACGAAGAAAACAATTTGGGTACCGATGATTAATAATTAGTTTTTTTGACAATTTATTTAATTTTGGTGGCTGTGGTGTAGTGTCCTTCTTGTTTATTACAAGGACGACTGAAATAATTATTATAATGATCGCTAATTGGAAGGAGTGTCAGGATATTATGAAGTTTAATAATAAACAGCTGGTGGTTCAATCAATTTACTGATAAACCATTTGGCGAACCGAAATGTTTTTCACAACGTTACATATTATTATTATTTATTATTTCATGAACCAACTTTTTTTCGGCTAAATTTCAACGAAATCTGACAACGAGTCGAAATTTCTTGAGTTTAAAAAAGTGTGGAAATAACTTTTTATACTTGTTTGAATTGGTTTGATTTGAATATACCAGTGCCTTGAGAAAATCTCTCTAACTGCTCCGCTCCATACTAGTTGCGACATTGGCAGTTAATATTGTCTTCCCAGTTTCAAATGGGAATTCCGAGTCACTGGTATGTCCAGAGGAAATTATAGTTCGCAGTTTTGTACAAAAAGGACAAAGGGATTAATAATAATAATGGTAAATTAAATTATATTTACTTATTCATTTTAGTTTTTCACTAGAAAGTGTGGGAAAATGAATCGATTATCGTTCACAAATATGCGATATGGATATTTAATAATGATATTCTATATCACTATTATAATGATATTCTAAAAATTTTCATGATAGAATGTACTGTTTTCTTCAGTTTTGCTGTCATTCGTTTTTCTTATAGGGTAGTTATTTTTATAACCTTTTTCTGGATGAAAATAAAAAAAAAATTATCGCTAAATAAGTTACCTGGAAATAATTGTACATTTTACCCTTACATTTCATTAAAAAAAAATGATCCTATTCTCGACTCATTATCACAAACCATTGAACTTGTCTATTATTTCACTCCATTGAAACGGTTGAATGCCTCTCATTTTGATTTTCCTAAATGAGCTTACATCTATAAACCTTTATCTCCTGCGTTTTCTGCCTGTGGAAAAATCCATAATCCAAGAACAGATGAAGAGGAGTGGAATGGGATTCCACCAGATGATATTCCAGGCGTTGTATCTAAAATCCAAATATTTTTTCCAGATTCAAGTTTCTACGAAATTTTACGCATCATCTGTCTTTCGCATTAATTTAAAAAAAATATTTTTTTTACGTCTTCTTCTCGATTAAGTCTTATCATGAGATTCTCCATTTTATTTAACCATTTAAATATTTCTGTATCACTTAGTACATTAAGCTGGTTTCACTCCTTCATTCGTCATCGCTTCCAAATCGTCATTGTTCTTAACGAACTTCTCTTTTTTTCACCACGGGTATTGCTTAGTGATCTTCTGTTTCACCAACATTATTTTCCATCAATTTAAATAGCCAACCTAATGTTACCGTCATTACCAATATCATTTGTATGCAGACGAGCTACAAATATATATTTCCTTTCACCCATTTGACATGCTTGAGGCATCTCGTTAACACCTACACAACATTAATGGTATTAACGATGAGCTTCAGAATTGATCCTGAATCCATCAATAGCTATTACAATTCTCATCGATTCAAAACCCTGTCTCAAATTTGTTTCCTACTGTCCAATACTGTATGTTAACAGTATTCCTACTTTATTCCAGAACTCAATTAATATCTTTGAATTACTTTTGGTACCTCCAGATCGATCTCAAACATTTAACAGCTCTGCGATTCATTTCACCAAGCTACCCCTCAACTTGTTGTTTCCTTCCTAAACCTCCCCTACTTTGACTACTTATGCCTAACATATGGAGGATTATTCGATGAGCACGAGATGAGATTTAAGGTTTGATGAATAGTTTCATAACATTTATTTTTTGTGTTCCCAGACACTCTCATAACACTCAATGAAAAATATCTGATGTGTCCACTCACACGACTTTCCTACCTATTTCAGAAAAGTTTTTACTGTATGTTCATGAAGAAACAAAAAAGAATTGAACTAGATACATAGTGAAGATTGTGTGATGCGGACAACAGGTTTTCATACTTTCACTTAGTCATCTTTATTCTCCCATTCAACCCTTTCTGACACCAGGATATGAAACCGTAATCTTACATTGGAAATTCAATAGCTCTAACTTCATTAATAGTTGTCCAAAATGAACGATTTTTATATGACTTTGTAGGGAATTTCATTACCTTTGAAAAAATGAGGAAAAAACAGACAGACCAATTGCTTAAAATGTGTTTTTCGGACCCAGTGGGCTCTGAAACGTATAGATCCGTCGAAAACCGCATGTCGGAAATTTGACCCAATTGCAATACCTTCCTTACCTGGTATAGGTAGGAAACTAATAAGTTAAAAAATGTGTAAAAAATAGAATAAGCTGTATAATCGCTAATACTGGTTCGATTCCGATGATTTTTTTTTTTGTTTTGTTGGTAATTTAATTACCTTTAAAATGTTTATTTATAAATTTTACCGTATAATATATACGTAGGGAATTAGGCCATAACATTTGTCTTTTCTTTATAACTTTTTTTCCTGATTTTTTTCGGGAATTTAGTCTAAATACGAAAATGAAAGA